TAGATGATACTTTGGTGGTGGAAAATTTCGGGGTGAGACTAAGAAACCAACATCATTAAACCCAACAAAGACAACTCTTTTAACCTTAATCAATGGCAGGTGGAAGCAAGGTAAAAGACCACCATTTTTCATTTACTGTTTAATTGTGCAAAGCATAAAGATTTGTCATTTTCATTGATGATTCATTGCGTGAAGCATCGTGTGATGAAAGAGGGTTGGAAAAACATGGTTGCATTGCAGTGTCCTTTTTTAAAAAGCCCAACCTCTCACAGCCACACATTGGTTGTGTGCAGAAAGTTAATTAGCCTCCAAATGTACCCAAGTTATTTCCAATCCGTAACTAAAAACTTAATGATTCCTTTGTCTTTCTACTTTCAGAAAATTCTCGTTTCGGTTTATTTTCATTCTTATCCAACAAAACGAAACCTATTTTTTTTGGTTGCTAATTAAGGTCCGAGACTAGGATTTGAGTATGTCCAAGGTTTAAATTATTTAAATGGAAGTCTCTAATCATAATCATACTCTACTAATTCAAATCTAATCACTCAATTCACTTCGTATGGAGATGAATTGTCTTTTCTTTTTTTCTTTTTTTTAGCATCAACATGTTTTTTAATGGTTCTTCTACCATTCTCGGTCAACTCTGAATTACTTGGTGTTCTCATACAATTAGTGGAGCTTAATTAAAAAATAAAATAAAAATCCTCCGCAATTATATATTAATGTAAAATATAATGGCCACGATGGTATTAGTTGGGTATTGCAGCATGGGACACGTTCTGCTTCTTAAGCTTCGGATAAGATCAAACACAAACTTCTATTACGTCATTAAACACTTCTTAATCGCTGTTCCTGTTCGTTAATTTCGTCGTTAACTGTTGTTGTTGTTTTTGCATGTCATTCTTCCTAATCAAGCCTTTTATATAAGCAATATTTTCACGACAAATGCTAATTATTGTGGTAAAGTTTTCTGTTTAAATACGAACAAATGAACTCTTTTATGAATTTTAAATTAATGTTTTCTTACAAGTCTTTTACTAAGTTGTGCTCTCATCGAATATTCCTAATTAACAAAAGTAATTTTAACACGAATCATTTTAATGTGTTTGAACTCTATTATTTATGATTTAGTTGATGTTCCTGCTTCCTAATATACCTTATGCCATTATATAATGCATTAGTGGGTTGTTTCGAAACCTAATTAATTGCAATTAATAATAGATTCGTATCTCGCGTAACAAAACCACACGTATTGGTTGGTTTGTTGATTACGTTACATTATCTTCATTCTCGTTCATGAGAAAAAAAAAAAACACTTTTTTTTTTAAATATAATTTTTTTGCTACTTTTATTTTTACTTTATTTAAAATAATTTTCGTTTTAATCAATTTCTTACCTTTCGTTGTATTATAATATATACTTGTTTTTAATCTTTGTAGTAAATTTTAATGAGAAAATATGGCGTAACAATAACGTTAATATAAGGAGTGAGTTAATTGGTGATCCATGATTATGAATTATATGTGTTCGAGCTGAAGACGCACTCTAGTTTGCTAATGGAATGTGTTTTTTATTATTTAATTAGTTATTTTAATTCGACATAGTGCACAAATGGCACAAAAGACCGTACTAACAACAGTTTAATTTCAACTATTAATTGGGATCCAATGATTAAAGATTAGTAATTGTCTACTAAACAAATAATTAGAGATAGTGGTTTGACGAGAAAGAAAGAAAGAAGATAATGAGAAAATATCGCGTAATAAATTTAACACATAAAACACGAGTGAGGTAGAGTGCACGATTATTTCATATATATGTTGCTGTTATTAAACTATATCAATGCTTACGCAAGTGATTATTAAAATTAAACAGTGTGAACACTTTGTTATTCAATACTTTTTGATAAAGTGTCATATTTGTTTTAAATACTTTTTTTATTTTTTTAAGGGTTAAAAAAAATCTAAATAATTAATGATAAGGATACTATTATTTGATACGATCTTCTAGAATTATAAAAGCACCCACTTATACTCTCACTGGTTTTTTAATTACGAATTAGAAGTATGCTTTAAAATTTTAAATGGCGACAGAGTCAGAATAACAAGTAACAAGAAATTAGCGACGGAATTGTAAAAGAAAAAAATATACAAAAGTTAAGGCTGAAGTTATTAAAACATATAATTTTGAAGACTGAAATACAAATTATTTTTTTTTATGTTATTTTTTATATTACAGTGAGTGTTTTTATTATATTTCGAAATTAATTTTCGACGTCCTCTTTGAAGTTAAAGTTTGTGGTTGTGGTGGGTTTTTTTAATACTTTTCCCAGGGCCCAATGTTTATATGTCTAAATCTTAAAACTTTGGGCCATTAGTTGCCAATTTTTATTCTCATTCCCCCCATTTTGCTAAATTCACTTCTAAGCTTTTCGAAGTTTTTATCCGATAAAATTAGGGATGGCAAAACGGGCTAGGTCCGGCGGGTTGGCCCGCCAGCCTGCCATAATATGGCGGGGTGGGTTGGTGTTTTCAGCCCACCAGTCCGCTTTGGCCCGCCCGCCAAGCCCGCCAACCCGTCGGGCCAACCCGCGGGACGGGACGGGCTAGGCCACGGCCGCCTAATTAATAAAAAAATAATTTTTTATTGTAATAAAATTAATTATAAAGATAATATATAAAGTTAAAAATTTTAAAAAGTGAATTAAAAAAGTTTCATTCTCACGGAAAATATTCTCCTTCCCGAAATATAACCTTCTCTCCTGTTCTCCTTATTTATCCTAAGCACTGATTATATTTATCCTTATTACTTGAATTAAAGATATAAGAATTACTCAACCAAGAATAATATGAAGTTTTATCAAATAAAAAAGATATAGGTATTTGAATTTTACAATATAAAAAAATATAAATTTTATAAGTTTAACGTTATTTATATATATATATATATATATATATATATATATATATATTTGTTATTATTTATTATTATGTAAATTTTATTATTGTTCTAAATTATAATTTCTTAAAATAATGTATTGATTTATATTATTAAATTGAAATAATATATATATATTGAATTATTGACAAATAAATAATAATCTTATTATTAAATTTATTAAAAAAATTATTTAAAAAAATTATTTTTTTTAAATTATGGTGGCAGCCACTAACCCGCCCCTTGGCGGGTGGGCCAAGGTCTACAACCCGTCATGACTATATCGGGCTAGCCACTCGCCCGCTTTTGGCGGCTAAAGGCGAGACAGAACAAAACGGGTGGGCTGACCCGTTTTGCCATCCCTAGATAAAATAACCCTGAAAAAAAGTGATTATGCTGTTTTAATTAAGAAAGTGTGTTTCCACAGTGTTCATTTTTTAGGATTTGGGTTTTAAAAAAATTATACGATATAGGTATATTTTCGTGGTGCAGTTATTATACATGGGATTTTTATTTTTATTTTTTATTTTTACAAAAAGTGACCTTTTAATTAAAATAAATAAATTACAGTGTAAGATATAAATTTTAATTTAACAAAATGAATCATGATATAAATTATTTGAATGACGATACAGGTTAACTTTTTTACAGGAATCAAATAAGTCGTAAGTAATTTGATGTCAATTAAACAAAGTGATTTGTATCATATTTAATTTGTTTTTTATTAAGAAGAATAAATAAAAAAATTCATTTCCTGTGTATTTTGATCAAAATTTACAATGACTTTGTTGTGTTATTTTCTTGTCTCTATGTAATCTTTTTTAAAAGATTAACTTTACAAAAATGTTATATTATTTCGAATTCACACACATAATAGAAAGGTGTGGATGTGAGTTTAACAAAAGAAGGGGTGACAATAACAAAATATGTACAAAGGCTATTTTTTGGGCCCAATTAATCCATTCCAAGTTGGATTACGCGCAAACAGACTCAACTTCAACGTGCTCAAATAAATTTTGTCGCGAAACGGAATCGCACGCGTTTTTGTTACGTGCGACGAAATAGCTTACACGAGGGAGGAAAAAAGGAAAAATATCGCGATATTTGAGAGTGTGTAAGACGACCAATAAGAAATTGACACGTATGATTACGCGGCGTGTACCTCTGGGAAGTGGTGCTTGTAAGCAACATGTGCTTTTATTGTTTGTTTTTTTCGCCGAAAAAAAAAAAAGAAAAGTTGGACGCTTTTGCGTTGTAGGGTCCAAATTGTTGCATGATCCATTCAAATATGTACAGTTTTTAATTTCCTGAACAGACAGACGATTTTACCCTCCAAACTTATCTCACCACGTCATCACTTTTTTTAGTTTCCCAATTTGTCCCTTCCCCTAATGTCCTATGATTTGGGACGTTTTCTTACTTGCTTTACCTTCTTACGTTGGTTTCCAAAAGAAAGGGAAAAAAGGAAAATTACTTATTTCGATGTATTAAAAATCTCACACATCATTACCATAGTACGTGTAAATTTCTAGAAGGGTACTATTTTTATTTGTTTTAAACTGTTTATTGTAACGGACAAGTTCAATGAACCAACGAAGGGTATTAGTGTAAAATCGGATGTTGTTAATCCTAAAACAAACACCCAGCACGTGTGAGGGATAACAACGTAATTACACATCTCATCAATTTGGGAAGTTGCTTCTTCCTTGTCCCACCTTTCCTTTCTCAGAGCTTATAAAATAGCGTTCTGAGTTTTTCTTCATTTCTTCAAATCTCAAACACTTTTCCTCTTTCATTCAACCATTTGACCTCTTCGTCGCCATCTCAAACTGTAAGTGAACCCACAAATCACTGTAAATTTCCATTACCATTCTCTTAGTTATTAACTTATAGAATCTTTCCTTTATAGAATTATAAGTATAATCATTCTTTGTTATATTTCTCCCCACGTACGTTTATGTTACTGGGATATACATAGAAGAATTGAACATAGATAAATTCTAGGTTTTTTAATAGATCAGAGCAGTTTCATTTTCTGGGCTGTGGTTGTTTGATCACACCAAATGACTAGTGGTAGTGCTATTGGAATCTCTACCATGAGGCCTTGTTGTAGAATCCTATGTAACTATAAAAGCCCATCGATCTTTGGATTTTCTCCAACCAAGTTCAGTGATTCAGCAATCATGGGCATGTTGACCAGATCAGGTCATCACAAATCAAATCATCGCCATAGATATAATACTTGTGATTCTCAGATTGTAGGGTACATAAATATGATTAATCCGAATCGGAGAGATTTTAGTGTTTCCGGTTCGAATTTGGGTCTTGTTAGGGATTTTAGCACTAGTGTTTGTGTCAATATTGGTAGTTTTAGGCCTAGGGTTGCGTCCTTGATACCGCATGTAGCGTCGGATTTTAGGAATCACTCTACATCGGTTGATTCTCATGCTCATGACACGAGCTTTGAGAAGATTTACATTCAAAGCGGCTTGAATGTGAAGCCATTGGTGATTGAAAAGATTGAGACTGATCAAAGTAAATTGGAGGAAGTATCTGAAGAAGAATGTGATGTGTCAAATGACAATCTAGATAATTTGAAGGATTTGAGTGAGAATAAGGTTCGGAGGGAGGTCTCTGAGCTTGAAAAGGAAGCTTGGAAGTTGCTTCGGGATGCTGTTGTTACTTACTGTGGGAATCCGGTTGGGACTGTTGCAGCTAATGATTCCGCTGACAAACAACCGCTGAATTATGACCAAGTCTTTATCCGTGATTTTGTTCCATCGGCGCTTGCCTTTTTGCTCAATGGTGAAGGGGAAATTGTCAAGAATTTTCTACTTCACACATTGCAGTTGCAGGTATGTTATGACCTTGACAGCTCAATTGCATTGTTTCTGTATATATTTACTTTCTTTTCTTCCACAGAATGGTTTCTTACGTAGTATGTGTAAAATTTTGATAAATGCGTAGGAACTTGCTTATGTCTGCACCGCTATTTATTTAGTGTATGCTCTATTGAGGTGATGAATGTCATTTAGCTTAAATGCTGCATAATAAATGACATGTTCTTTTCTATCCGTGAATTGTATATTTTAAAGGAATTTAGAGATAGATTGTTTTGTCTATGTGAATGAAAGAAAGATAAGACATTGTATGTCTGGTTTATCTTTCTTGCTCTTATTTTAAATTGTCCTAAGTTAGTCATTACATTAGAAATGTCTAAGTACATGTTTGGGTTCACGTTAAAAAGGCACTAAACCATGGTTTGTCCAAATGCTTCTTTTTTGTAACTTTTGCTCAAACCTTGGTTTGGAAATTCCCAACTTCAAGCTGAACATTCTCTAAATGCTTCTCATCCACTGTATCACTTTTGCCGAACTTCCTAACAAAGAATCCTTCCTTGTAAATGCACTACTCATTAGCTAAGTTAAAATCTAACCAATGAATGGGAGGGAAGGCATATCATTTAACCTGTTGTGAGCAAACATGTTGATGAAGCTGTTATTGGACCTGAATTGATTGCTTTTGGAGTACCTGTTGCTTATTTAGTATTTTAATTCAAAGTTTATGTTTGCCAGAGTTGGGAGAAGACTGTTGACTGCTACAGCCCAGGTCAAGGGTTGATGCCAGCAAGCTTCAAGGTTAGAACTGTGCCTCTTGATGGAAGCAATGAAGCATTTGAGGAAGTTTTGGATCCTGATTTTGGGGAATCAGCTATTGGTCGTGTTGCGCCTGTTGATTCAGGTAAGTTAATTGTTGTCGTGGAAGTTGAAGACATTTTCTATTACATTAATACACTGTCATTATTATGTTGTTCCCTTTTCCTGATATAGACTTGCTTTATTTTTGCTTTTTCAAAATTTGCTGAACGTCTATATTTTACAAACCAGATTTAGGCCAAAATTTTAAAGTTTATGCTACATTCTTCATTGACAGGACTGTGGTGGATTATACTATTGAGAGCTTATGGGAAACTAACGGGTGACTATACTTTGCAAGATAGAGTGGATGTCCAAACAGGCATAAGACTGATCCTTAAGTTGTGTCTAACTGATGGATTTGATATGTTTCCTTCTTTATTAGTCACTGATGGTTCCTGCATGATTGATAGAAGGATGGGGATTCATGGGCACCCTCTTGAGATCCAAGTAAGCTGATAGCTAATTATCCTATTTGTACAAGCTACTAGAATTATCAGTTATTTTGCTCTATGTAATGTATGGGGCTGACCGAGGGATTTTTATTTTCAATTAGTTTTAAATTGCATTACAATCGGTGTTGGGATGTGGCATTGTGTTGATTGTCTTCAAAAACCATTTTCCCGTGGCTCATCAGTGAAATCTTGCCTATGCATTCACAATCATTCTGTCTTGAGTTAGATTTTATGGTTGGAGATTCTAAACTGATTATAGTTGTCTGCATACTTCAATAGCATGGAGCTATTGATAATGCCATGTAATATTTTGTTTTGTATTGAAAAGACTTAGAATGATAACTAAAGCTACAAGTCTCCTAAAATAGGTTTAACATTTTATCATCGTTGAGCAGATTTTATCCGGTTTCCTTTTCTTACATGTTGGTTCCTGGGTATCTGAAAATATATGCCTGTATACTTATTAATTTCTCCTTGGTTGGAATTGAATTGCACATTTTCAGGCATTATTTTACTCGGCTTTACGCTGCTCTCGGGAGATGCTGATAGTCAATGATGCAACTAAGAGCCTGGTGGCTGCTGTTAGTAATCGCCTGAGTGCACTCTGCTTTCACATGAGAGAGTATTATTGGGTTGATATGAAGAAGATTAATGAAATTTATAGGTATAAGACGGAAGAGTATTCTACTGATGCTGTAAACAAGTTTAACATCTATCCAGAGCAAATTCCTTCATGGCTAGTAGACTGGATATCCGAGGATGGTGGATACTTCATTGGCAATGTGCAACCTGCTCATATGGACTTTAGGTTTTTCACACTTGGAAACCTTTGGGCTATTGTTTCTTCTTTAGGAACAACAAGACAGAACCAGAGCATTTTGAATTTAATTGAAGCAAAATGGGATGATATTGTTGCTCAAATGCCTCTCAAGATTTGTTATCCAGCACTGGAGGGTGAGGAATGGCGTATCATCACTGGTTGTGACCCCAAGAACACGTAAGGATCTTCTAAATTTCTTGTTCTGTTTTGACATTCGCAGTATTTCTAGGCACAACCAGTTTGATGCAAAAGTTCACAATTGTGTGATGCAAACCATTGAAATAAACCGTAAATGTCTCCTGTTGGAAGTTACAAACTTTACTGATAGTTTGTTAAACTGCTTGCAGCCCTTGGTCATATCATAATGGAGGATCTTGGCCAACGCTTCTATGGCAGGTCAGTTGGATATTTGTTTGGATGATATCATCCTTGTTTATTAAACTGATTATTTATTAATTTTCGTTGTTTTATATACAAAAAGCAGATGTTTGACTCATCAAGACCAATAATTCTGTTTTTAGTTTTTTCAATAAATATGGTCGAGTTATATGGTTAATAATCTTGAATAGATTTCACAATAAATTAAGGGTACACAAAAATTAACATTAACAATTAATACATTTAAAAGTGGGTCCATGTGTGTTATAATTAGGAAACATTATTTCTTATATAAAGGACGAGAGGAAGCATTAACTTTTGGTAAAATCAAGTGTGCCCATTTCCTTTTAGACTGACTGATAAAGCATTTGAAAGCGCACATCACTCATAATAAAAAGAAGCGCATATCACTGTCCAACCGGTTCAATTTGGAACTTGTCTGGTGACTCACAGAATTGTCAACTGGTAGTTTTCATTTTCTTAAATTCAATCTAAAAGTATTTTAAGAAAAAATAAAAGTACACATTTACACATTTTCACCTAAGTATCAATTATTTTGTCAACTATTGTTATTTTTATCTTATAAAACATATAATTTAGTCGTTTATATTAATTTACAATTTTTAGATCCTGATTTATAATAATTTTATGTTATTTTATAACTAACTATATAAATTAATTATTATTGGTTTGATCACGATTTAGCAGAGTTAGATAAGTAAATTTGAACTATTCAGTTTGAAAAACATTGGTTATCTTATACATCTCCCTTGAATGTTTATGTCGTCCAATCATATGAAATGATATATATATATATATATATATATATATATATATATATATATATGGTAAAATTGTTTTCTGTAATAATTAATTTAAAAGTTACATTTGAATCATTTTCTAATTAGTTGGCAATGCAAAAAATTTAACATTGCCCTTAGTTATATTTTCTAATTAGTTTGATATGTTTAAACTTCAGTTCACATTGGCCTGCATGAAGATGGGAAGGCCTGACTTGGCACAGAAGGCCGTTGATTCAGCAGGGAAAAGGCTTTCAGTGGATAGATGGCCCGAATATTACGACACACGAAATGGAAGGTTCATTGGGAAGCAATCACGGTTGATGCAGACATGGACCATTGCTGGTTTCTTGACCTCAAAGATGCTTCTAGAGAATCCAGAAAAGGCATCCTCGTTGTTTTGGGAGGAGGATTTTGAACTTCTTCAGAACTGTGTCTGCATGCTAAGCAAAGCTAGTAGAAGGAAGTGCTCCCGTTTTGCTTCAAGGTCTCAGTTTCTTGTTTGATGTCCACACAATCTCCCCTTACCAGAGAATCATTGCTTGAACTCTGTAGTGTAGGTGAACTAATTTATTACAATAATTCATTGATGCCACTTTTCAGCTTCAATCTGTTAGCTATTTCTGTTGTTTGGTGACAACGGGTAACTGTATGACATAGTTATGTTGCGTCATTTATTTATGCGGGGTAACTCCCTCCATGAATATTTTGCCTTGGAGTTTTCTCCTTTTACTGCATCTGTTATTTGGCTTCACTGTGTCTGTGTATCATATTAGTTCCTACAAGACCCGTACTTTTGTAAATGTTGCTCATTGAAGGATTTATGTATCTTACGAAAGTAATAATCTTTGTTTGTGAACAATTTGATGACTATCTTTACAATTGAATTAGGCTGAGTGATTAATTTTAGGAATTAAATTGATACTTTAAATGTTGTGGGTAAAGGAGTGAAAGGGGGATTTTTTTATTATTATTATTTAAAATGAACTTTTCAATCAAATGTTTTGTCAGACATAAATTTAGTTAAATCGTGATCCATTAACTTGTCTCAGTTAGTTTTAGTAAAGTTGTCATCGAAGGAGATACAGCTTTATGAATTGGTTTGGTCGGATTTGTGCAACGTTTTTGTCAAAAGTTCAAATCAGATCCAACAATCGGGTTAACCATGGGTTGGGTTGGTCTTCTTCAAGTACAAAAAATTAAAAAAATATATTGAAAGTTTCCAAAAATTTATAATTTTCCTTACCACTTCAATAACCAATTGTGAGAACTAATATTGAGATAGAAACATTAGTCCATTAAATATAAACCATACCCCTTTTTGTCAGTGAGTGAAATTTATACGAATCTCATTGAATATAATAGTGTAAAATTAGTAAACAACTTTCTGCGTGTTTGGTATCTTGTTTACGATGTGCATTGAGATAAAAAGACAAGCCAAACTGTGTTAGCTACAAAATAAGTACAATTACAATGGAATATGTTTATGTTATTTCTTAAAGTCAAGCAACTTAAAAAAAAAAGCACAAAATAAGAGATCCAGTAAAAGATAATTAAGAATTAAAATAAATGAAGATTGAATAAGTGAATTGGTAAAAATAGGAAAGAGAAAGATAAAAAGTTGAAGAGGGAGAGAGAGAGAGAGAGATTGCAATTGATGATCGAGGAAGTGAAGTAATAAGGGTGTAATACAGTGAGTTTTATTAGGGTTGGGAAGTTAATAAGTGGGGAGGGCATGCAAAAAATGATGACAGATTTGGGGTAGCAGAGGAGGTTGGAAGAAGAGAAAAACTTAAAAAAGGGGAACAAGAAAGCATGCATGGATGAAGGGATGAAGGCATGAATGAATGAGTGGTGGTTAGTGTTTGCAGTTTCTGAAAAGCTGAATGCGTGTGTCTCCAAGCCTGAGAGAGTAAGTGGCTTTCTTGTATTCTGCCCAAGTGAAGGGTCGGAAGAGAGAAGGCCTCTGAGGTGTGACCATAACTGAGGGAGCAACAATGGTAGCATGCAGAGGTGGAGCCCCAAAATATGCCACTGACATTCTACACTTGTATGAGTTCGTCATAGCCCTGTGCCTCACGCTCACAAATCTTCCATTTGTCATAACCTTAACACCACACAACACAACACAACACAACACATAATCAATCACTTCCTTTTTTGTTCAAACTCTTTGTACCATATTTCAACCCTATCTTCCCACCATGCATCTATGCTTTTGTTCTTTTTCTATTCTTCAACCAACCCCCACTTTCCCAACACTCTATTATTAACCCTGTAAATGTGTTTTTTAAGATAAACAAAACAACTAAAATCTATTTATTTTTCACCTATTCATTTGTTCCCAAAGTATTTTGAGGCATGCATGACATGAGGTTGAGTACATTGTTTCAGAGTGAATGGACCTTGACTGAAATTCAGTCCAAAAGCTGCAGTGAAAAACATACATTGATTCCCATGTCATTTCACCTCACTTCACTTCCCATCAACTTGCCCTTTCTTTAAGATTTTTTTCCTCTTTCTGTGCCAGCATACAAACCAGGCCCCCCACTCACCCTCCTTTTTTTCCTTAGCAAAACGAATCAACCCTCTCTGTTCTCTTCTCTTCTGTGGGGTTCAACAATTCAACCTTTCCCATTATTTTTATCCCTACAACCTATAATGATTAATGTGCATATGTAAAAAACACAAACAGGAACACTGATAAAAATGAATTACAAATATGTAGCTTATAATGTTTAGTCAGAAAGACTCACACATTATGGAGAGAAACATTGAAACATTACATGCATAGATAGATGCATTATACGTACCTGTAGTACATCACCCACGTTCACATAGAATGCAGAGGGGTCAGGGGTGACTGGGATCCACACCCCATCTGGAAGAGAAATCTGGAGGCCACCCACGTCGTTGGATCTGAGAATGGTGAGAATCTGAGGGTCAGAATGCTCCCCAAACCCAACCTTGCTAAATTGTGATGACTTGTCCTTATCTTTGTCCTTCTCCTTGCAACTCTCTCTGTTAATTATAGGTGGGTAGTGATTGAGTCTCAGCACTGAGTCACTTTCATCATCCCTTATCAATCTGCTGAAAACCCAAGTGTCCGGGACCCCCAGCCCCTCTGCCATCACCTCCAATATCTCACATGCCAGCTCCTTCACTGCTTCTGTGTATGCACTCAAGGTTTTGCTGCATGCCATGTGCAATCACACACTAATTACAACATATTACAATGCTATTAACATTATCAATACCAATCAAAACCATTCCTTCCTCATCAATTTTATTCTGTACTTGTTTATTTGATTAGACGTTCCTGATGGTATATGTCTCTGCTTCGAATCTTTGTCCAAACCACTTTGCTACTAAAATTCGTACACACTTCATCTCATGTTTATTTGTACTGAATTTGAATTACATTTAGTAATTTATTTGAATTGAACGAAGGAGTTTGTGAGTGACAAGTGTTGACATGAGCAGAACTTTCAAGAGAAAAGGTGAAGTGTCTCAGACACACCGCCCCACCTCCTATCCTACGATACCTCTCCCTCGTAGTCCCATGTGCCACTGTTAATTCCATTCGTTCGTCAAATTCATTTTTATTTCTACAAATTTTAGCTCATTTTTTACATCACATCCATAATTTTACTATTTTTTTTTTAGAGTACCCACTTAAATTGCCATTTTCCGAAATTAATAACTAACATATGTGTGTAAGTTTCAAAAGAATAAAACGTGTTCGTGTTTGCAGAAACTTTTTTAAATAGAAAATAATACACTCTTTTCCTCGACTTGCAAACTAACCAACATGTTTTGAGGTTGTGAGTACAGAAATACCATTAGAGTAGTCCTAATACCGTAGTACTTTCATAAACATTTAATATGTTTGATCTCAACAACACAATTTTGAAACTGAAAACCTTATGTACGTGGTTTTCAATTAAACAGTTCTAATAGTATTGTTTTTTACTATTCTTAAACAAAAGAAACACATAGTCGTAAGAGAAAAGATACAAACACTTTCCAGGTGAACAAAGTATATGAAAATGCTGTTCACATCTCCCAACCTTATAGTGTTCCACACAAATCATATTTAAACCCTATGCATTAATATTCATACCTATTATTTTTTGACAACTATCCACTATGAAAAGAAAAAAAAAACAAAAAAGAGGGAGAAGCTCAAGTTGTAGCATAATTTTCAAAGAATGGTTATTGGTTGACTCAGTTTTATCACTTGTATTTCTAGTAAATATTTTTCTATTTTAATCATATTTATTATATAATGTTTAAACTTCAAACCTTATCCATTGTTGATATATGGTTGTGTATGTCCATATTATATATATGTGTGTGTGTGTGTGTGTGTTTCTTTATCATATGGTTGATAAATACATTATTAATTATTATGAAATACAAAAGCAATGTAAAGTAGAGTTAAGTAAGTAAAGTTAAAAATGAGTATGCGTACGATTTGTATATGGTATTACGTGATTATCAATTAATTTTAAGACTGAATTATGTAAAATTGTATGCGTGTTATTGAAAGAAAATATTATAGTTATATGTGACATGTATATAAGAATAAGACTGAGACTATTTTGTAACGGTAAAGGGTAAGGTAATGAGTAGTTGAAACACAATAGAATGAAAAATAGTGAGATGAAAAATGGTGATAGTTTGGGACCATGAGGGGTGGAGTTAATATAAATATAGTAAAGGAAGCATGCAATAAATAAAAATGGTGTGGAGAGAGAGAAGGAACATGCATAGATACATACCTGAGGTTTAATGGGTCAGTGGATATAGTTTTGGATATGTGAGAAATGGAGTGAGTGGTGGCACTGAGGAGAAGGTACTCAACCTCACCCATGTCTCCATTGACACCTATGTTCTTGCACCCGTATGCAGGTGCCGCCACCTTCTTCTCCAACACCGGTTTCCCAAAGAAACCAAACCCTGCTTCTTCAGTCTTGGCAATAACTTGGTTGCTGATACCGTGGTTTATGACTTTGAAGAAACCGTATTCTTCGCAGGCTTTGACGATGAGCTTTGCCACTTCTGACCTCTCCCCTGAGAGGTCCACCACGGGAATCTCTCTGCGGAGAATCCCTTCGCTCCTTATTGGGTTTGGGGAAGCCAACACCATGTTTGTTTCTGCGTTGATGAATAATGGTGTGTTGTTGGAGGAAAGAAAATTTGGAAGAGAAAAGAAAAGAAAACGCGAAGGTGTACGAATAGAAGAGAAGAGAAAGAGAAGGAAGGTGGTGAATTGTGACTCTCATGTCCTGGGGTATTTATGCAGCGTGGAAGGACATTATTATTATTATTATATATAATAATAATAAAGATTTATTTTCATTTTAATTATTAATTTTTTAAAATTTAACAATTCAAATAAATCTTTCTCAGAAGAATAACACTTAAAAAGATTTTTTTTTCTATTTCATTTTATTTATAATATATTTTTTCTCATTTTAAAATAGAGATATTTAAGTTTTTATTTTAAAATGTGTAATTTTAATCTAATTCTTTTTCTTATATTTTCATTTTAGTTTGAATAAACACTAAACCTGATCATTTAAGATGAAAATTAAAATTACAGATCAAACAAAATAGAAAATTTATAATAAAAATGACTATATTTATATGAAATTATAATTTAATTGAAAAATATTCCTATTCTAAATATTGATTGTAATGTTATTTAATTTATAAACTATGATAGTTACTAAAATAGTCAAAACTGAAAGCATTAGAAAATAAAAAATAAAAAAACTGCTGTAATTTCTAGTTGAATGGTGTGGTAAAAATCTTAAAATTAAGATGAGATGATTTAATGTAATTCGATTAATATTATTGAACGAGTTTAATGAAAAATGCATTGTCTACGTGGATTAATTTTATTTTTTATTTACGTATAAATTATATTTGGTAGGATTTTCAGATGATTATTATAAAATTGAACAAGTTTATATTTACAAATTAACATTATTAAATATTTATATTAAAATAATGATTTAAAAATTTATATTATTAATAAACTAATATTATAAAATATTGATATGAAAGTTGAAATTTATATGAAAAGGTAAATTTTCTTTTCAATATTATTGAACGGGTGTGGATGATAATTGTACTTGATGCTTTTGTTGGAAGGGAGTGAATTTCATAGTTGAAAATGAAGTACAAATGAAGTAGGAAAATTGGCACATAAGAACGTTGACTTTGTTGACTCGCAGTGGCTTTTTCACTTTAGTTAGTATTTACTCATCTAAATCGTCCTTTTCATTTACCTTTTTTATTCTCTTTTTGACTTACTCTTCACGTGCCAAATCTTTTTGATAGATGAAAGAGAGAAAAATTAACAATGATTCTTTATTTATTTTTTTATAATATTTGTCTTGTGTTTGAATAAAAGAGTAAATTTGAATGAGTGAAAAAAATATTTGAAAATGAAATTATTTAAATTGAGAAAAAAAAGTAAAAAGTAAAAAATAAGATTGATTTAATTAATTAAAATATTATTTTATTAGTTTTATTTAAATAAATTTATTATTTGTTATCTAAATATTTATTATTATAATAATTAAAAATAAAAATTTAAATCACAATTAATTATATAAATGGTTATTATTATTCACTTTTCTTTCCATCTAATTCAATAAAGATACAAGTTTTTTTTTTTTTCAATATATTGATTTTCTAGCTTTTGTTAGAAAATTAGCATTATTTCTTCCCTTTAAAACGTAAACGTACTATTAGTATAAGTTAGATTTGAATTTAAAATTAATTAACACGAGACAAAATATTATAATATACAAATCATATTTATACTGAAGGAATTAAGATGGATAATATAAGATTTTTCTTGACATTTTCTACGATTAACGATAATTGAAATAGGTGATATATTATCAATTAAAAAAATATTTGTTATAATAAATAATGCTAAAAAGATTATGATATTATATTAAACTTAAATATAAAACTAAGTAAACACTAACGGAACTGATCAACAATTCAAGTAACTGGTATCTGTAAAATTGAGATAGGTTACAAATTTCATGAAAAGAAAGTTGACAAAAATTCTCTTTGAGGCTTTGTTTGGTTGGAGTGATTTGAGGGAGTGGGAGTGGAAATGAGAGAGTGGAAAAGGAGGGATTTGAAGAGAAAGGGAGATGAATGAAAAGTGAAAGGAAAGTTTATGGGAAATTGTGAATGATTTGATTGATATGAGATATAAAAATTATAATTTTATGTTGATTATTTAAGAAAATTACCATTTTACCCTTTGTATAAAATAAGGTTCAAATGATTATAAATATAAATTTTTAATTAATTATCCATATTTTAACATTGATTATATATTTAAAAGGAAAAAACAAAATTAAAAGTGTTTGTAATTGGAAACAAATTTAAAAAATTAACTTTTTTTAGATAGTTATTAAAAATTATATAAATAAACAATTACAAAATTATGTACATTGCATATCCATATTCAAATAATGTTGACATATTAAATAAATTATTTGACTAATAATTAAATAATTATAAAATATAAAATAATAATTAATATTGATCTGATAATAACAAATAATTATGAAAACTAATAATATAATTGTACATTATTGTTTAAAACAAATATAAAATACAGTGAAAATAGAATAATAATTAAGAAGTGATAAAGTGTAATGTTATTGATGTTAATTTTAACAATAATAGAATAATATTATTTTCGAAAATGCCCATATGAATGTGAATATTTTGATTATTATTATATAAAATAATTAAAAGAATAAGGTAAATAGAAAAGTAAAATGCATGGTTATACCACTTTCCTTTTAATCTATAATTAGTTAGGTATGAATCAAATGTAAAGTCTAATGTTATTGATGCTAATTTTAAGAAGATCACAAAATGTAAATTAAATAACTACAATATAAATTTCTACTTTGAAAATGAACAATATAATTAAACTCAAAATTGAGAATACTCTTATACATTTTTGAACTCTTTTGGATAAATTTTGTTTTCCTAATTTTTGATAAAGTTAATTTTAATATTTAAAAGTATTTAACATTTTGAATTCTGAAAGGTTTTCTCTAATAGCAAATTTAAAAACATAATATTCAAAAAAATATTTTAAGATTCAGTCTCGGGTTGCATTTCGCTCGAGCGACTATATCTCGCTCGAGCGAAAAACGATCCTGATCGATCATAATTTGAAATGATCGATCATAATTGGAGGATATAATAGCGGTTCCTCTGTAACCGCTATTTAAAGTATATATTAGATAACGGTTATGATTTAACCGCTATTACAAGTTATATTTCGCTTGAGCGACATTAAACTCGCTCGAGCGAAGACACCTGCACATAATTTTCATCATCGGGTTGTCTTTCGCTTGAGCGAAACTGATCTCGCTCGAGCGACTAGCAAAGTATGATCTCGCTCGATTTATTTTAATCGATTAAAACACGTTTTAATCGATTAAAACCACTTTGGAAGTCAGGATGATCGATCAGAATGTAATTATGACCGATCAGAGTTGGTTATGATCGATCAGAATTGAATTATGAACGATCAGACTTATTTCAATCGATTAAAACAAATTTCAATCGATTAAAATGACTTGAAAATTTTTGTACAGAGTTTCAATCGATTAAAACGCATTTCAATCGATTAAAATGACTTAGAAAAAATTCTGTGCAGGTTTTTAATCGATTAAAACTTTTTTGTATCAGTTAAAATAACTTGAAAAGTGTTATAAGAAAGTTTTAAACTGAATCAATCGATTAAACCGCGAATCAATCGATTAAATCACTCTTAGAAAATGTTTGTAAAAAGTTTTAACTGATAAAAACTTGGTCGTATCAGCTAAAACAATTCTGTTAAAGAACAAGAACGCATTAATGGGTTGAAAGGACTTTTAACAGATTATAACGGCTATTTCAACATATTAAAACAAACTTTGAACAGATTAATTAATGCAGTTTTTTCTGAAAACTCTTTTATAAACAGAATTGCTTGGAACTTTTATCATATCAGTTTTTAAAAAAACAAAGCAATAAATTTATTGGGTGAACCAAGTATAACAATTGCTTGGGTGTGACAAGTATAACAATTTATTGGGTGAACCAGAGTATAACAATTTATTGTTTCCCTAATTTTTGATAAAGTTAATTTTAATATTTAAATTTATTAGAGGTTAAGGTTTAACCTCTATTATAAGCTCCCTTTAAGAATGGTTCTTAAAGTGTTCCATCAACTCCCTGCTGCTTCTCAATTCCTGATTGAATCAGTGCCAGAGTCGGATTAAAGAAAGTAGAGTCGGATGTTATTGCCTTTGCCCCCACGCCAGCTTGCTCTCTAATCCCACTGCGGATTGGATTGAACTGAAAAAAGCGGAGCTTAGGTAAGGCTACAGCAACTCTCAAAGCGTGAGCTCATAAGCCGTATTTCGCTCGAGCGACTATATCTCGCTCGAGCGAAATACGATCCTGATCGATCATAAGTTGAAATGATCGATCATAATTGTTGTATATGATAGCGGTTCCTCTGTAACCGCTATCTAAAGTGTATATTAGATAGCGGTTCCAGTGGAACCGCTATCATATACAACTATATTTTAATTTATTGAGGCTCGACTAGTTTTTCGCTTGAGCGACTATATCTCGCTCGAGCGAAATATGATTCTGATCGATTAGATTTATGAAATGATCGATCATAATTGGAGGATATAATAGCGGTTCCTCTGTAACCGCTATCTAAAGTGATATATAATAGCGGTTAAGATATAACCGCTATTAGAAGTGATATATAATAGCGATTATGTTTTAACCGCTATTAGAAGTGATATATAATAGCGGTTAAGTTTTAACCGCTATTAGAAATGCTATTATAATAGCGGTTAAGATTTAACCGCTATCATATGGAAGAGGGTAACTTGGACTTTTTTTTATCTCCAGCAGACTTTCGTCGCTTTTCTTCGCAGATTAGCGAAGAAAGCTTCTCTCCCCTCTCACGCATTTCCTCGCCTGTATTTCTTCGCAAATCTGTTCAACCAAATGTGGGTGAATCTCGTGTTTCTGTCGTCGTGAACAATATTTCATCGCAAATCAGTTCAAACAAACACACCGTGAAAGTGAAGATGAAGAAAATGAAAGTAGGGTGGTTTAGGGTTTGCATGCACACTGGTTTAGGGTGACCCTAATGATATAGGAAGGGCAGCTCAGAATATCATCAATCCTACAGGTCCTGTCAAATCCTAGTGGTATTGAGTACTCTCACATGTCTTTAAAGGGTGATGAGGGTACCCATTTTTTGAACTTCAAATATCACTTACACACCTATCTATCTATCACCCTATACTAAACCTCATCTTCAACTCACACACTTCAATTCAATGGTTTGTTTGTTTATACTTCCTTTTCTTGGTTGCCCTACCCAAATCCTGCACCCTTGCAGATCCAATCCTTTCATTTATGATTCTTCCCTCTTTCATTTTTCAATCATGGAATTGCCAATTGAGTGTAGTATGACCAGCTCATGATAGTGAAATATCAAAATTATATAATATCTATACTATATTATATTCTACGTCTTTTCAAATTCATTCACTGTACACTCTTTTTTTTTTTCTGAATTAAAAACTTTCAAAACCAATATTTATACATTTATTAAAGATGGAAGGAAGGAGTGATCTTTTTCATTCATCTTCTTTGACTTCAAACCTGGTTACCACCTCCAGTGAATATAGTAGTATCATTATTCATTTAAATCAAATGCTAAACATAGTATCATTATTAAACAAACCTCCCAGGTTCATTAAACATTTTAAGTAATTTGAATCTCATCACACAGAAAGAAATGTAGTGTGTATGAAAGAGAACTTAGACATATTTAGGAGATCTCTCCAACCAATGTTAAAGATATCTTAATTTCTTGGTGGGTGTGTGTTAAGAGGTTGTAGTAGGTTTGCTGTTTCCCATGCACTCTCAACATTATCCCTTCATACATGGTTTTATAAATTGAGGAATAAAAATAATATTATAATTGAGTTGAAAAGAAAAGATATTTGTTTGGAAGTGAGTTAGGGTGGTGAGAGTTATAGGGTATGGTTCGGTGAATAATAGGGTCCAGATAGAGTCCTCTTTGCCTTTTTTCCCTTCAATTATTAATACACGAGACCCAATTATTATCTCTCACACATAATTGCCCAACAAAACCGATGGTACGCTCTCTATTATATCACCCTAATAATTCCCCACTCTGCATCTCTTCTTTTCTAATTCTTAATCTTTCACTTTTCATCTCTTTTCTTTTTCACCATTTTCATCTAAACCTTCATTTTCTATCCATATTCGAAATTCAACATGAAATAAAGGTCCATCCATCTCTTGAGTGCTTCCAGAACCTCCATAAATGTTCCTGGTCCATCAAAATACCAGCTTGCTTTCAAGAAGATGGTCAATGGGCCGTACACCAATTCAAGAACACAATATATCTTTTTTTCTTCTTTGTTCAACTTTCTCATCTCCTTTTTAATTAGCTAGGTTAAATGAAAATATACATATTATTATTGTCAAATATAATGTTATAGTTCATAAACATATTATTGTTAAATATATAGATGTGTGTGAACTAGAGAGAAATATATTTTTCTTACAGTAATTCATCAACAAAGGGAATTGACAATGTAACTATGTTGTTGTGTCCGTTTTATATACTAAAGTTCGTTGAAAAGGTTAATGTTAACAAAAAGACAAAACATTTGTGTGTTCTCCGAGAGTGTTCACAAATGTTTGTAAAAATATTTGAAAACACAATCCAACAACATTTTCCTGTATCATTGAGTTACAGTAATGTTCTTTAAGAATTGGGGTGGAGTCACTGTTTAAACACATGCAACTTCTTCCATATAAGTTGCGGCAGAGATTGAAGGTTAATTAATGAATTAAGAAAACGCATTAAATTTGATAAGAAAAAATATAACTGGAAAGAGTTAAATAAATAAAAAAAGGAATGGAAAATTGATGAATCATGCACAGAGTGCACCGTCCTGTTGCTGCCATTATCCAGCCTGTGGCTACCGTCCTCACTGTGCTCCTATCCTCTTCTCTTCTTCTTCTCTCTCTATTTATATTATTTTTTCTCGTTTAGACAATTTTGCATCTGAAAATGTTGTATAAGCCAAACAGTTATTCGCTTGGATCCAATCCAAGTGCTACAATTTTGAATGATCTCATCTTTTTTTATTAAACATTTGTTTTTACTAGTGAGCTTTAAACAATTCTCAACTTCCATTAGAGATGCTTAATAGGGAGTTGATTCATTGAGCTCAATTTGTAGAGTGTTGAATTGAATTGATTTAATTTGAACTGGGTAATCAATAGTGTAAATCATTCCTTCCATTTCAAATCATTTATATGATTTTTTTTTTTTTTATAAGGATCAATGAATAACAAATAACTCCATGAGTAGATCAATTTATTGAATTACTTTTGTTGGTTGATAAAAAATTCATGTAGAGAGCATTTCAAAGCAGTTTTTTTTTTTTTTAAGACGAAACTGAAATAAAATATTAACATGCTAGTTGATATGAAAATTTTATTGTGTTAAAACTTTATTTTTGAAACAGAGAGAATCAGTGAGGAACCTACATGAGCATAGTGTTTAAATATATTTTGAGTTTGATAAATACTACTTTGTTAAAAGTATTTTTTATACCTTGCTTGGTCTATTTTTCCTTTTTATATTTATATTTGAACCTGTAACTCAAAATGTTACACACTAATGATGGATCAAAGAGTGAGCTCATGAGTATTCTTAAAATTATGAGCACAAAAGTGATCGCGAGTAACTATATCTTGTTGAACTTATTTTTGAAAATTTTCATTTTCAGTTGTTTAAGAAATGTTAAAAACAAATTGTGATTAATTATAAAAAAAATGTTTGGAAATGTGTAGTTGGGTATTTGTAACCAAAATCAGGGACAGGGGGCAGAAGTATCTTTCTGTGAAGTGTTCGGGACCCAATTAGATAGAAATACAAATTATAATGCTTTCTTTACCTTAATAAAAAATGTCAGTATGTTACCATGTCATAAAATTATTAGTATTCTTCAGTTCAATATTTTATTAAATAAATTAATTTAGATTATACAATCACATTTTCTTAATACACACGTTTCGTTTTTATTATCTCAATTCATTATATTTACTTGCTATACCTTGATTTTAGGTTTAATAAAAATGTAGCAGGAGGAAATGTTTTTTCCTTAAATGTTCTTTTAAAATTTCACCAAACTACCTCTAATAAATCCAAATTGACCAATTTAAATGCACTTATGCGAAACAGCTCAACATAATACAGTAAAACACGTCAATTCGTTTGTAAACCACTTCATTTCATTTCAATGTCAGAACCTAGTGAATCTTACACAACAAAATAAACATTCTATCGTGTATAGAGATTTTTGTAGCTAATACTGTTATACAAAAATGACACAAGAACTAGACATAAAACATTAGACGAAGATGGGACTTCAAATTAATCCTTTTGGCGTTTGGACAGGGGAAACGACACTCTCTGGTGGTTCTGCGGCATGTCTGCCTTCTCTTCTTGAGTGGGATTCGGAATGGTAGTTTCTTCATCCTCTGTTTCTTCTAAAGGTTCGGCAGGCCTTTTGTTTCGAATTCCAAACTGGTAGTTAGGACTGGTTAATGTGTCCTGATCAGGTGGCAGTGGGATGCCGGGTCCTGCTATAGTCTTTGGCAATGGTATCTTGTTGCGGTTTTGAGCTAACTCCAGCAGCACCTGGCAAGTGAGTACATTACACATTATTTTTCAAGATGACATATTACCTCAGGGAAAAGGGTTTTGGAAACTCACATTTATTAGAGATATATGACTAAATTACAATATAAAAATAGATGCAAACTTCATTTTAAGTTAGGCTTAAAATCCACTTTCTAATAAGAGTATAAGTTATTGGATCACCAACGAGCAGCCCATGATATGCTAATTAGTAACTGACAAAATGAATCTCAGCAAAAGTTTTCTAGATAATCTAAAATGTAAGTAAAATCTCATTCCACCAAAGGGCAATCACAGCCATCCATAATTCTCAAACAACTGACTATCAAAAATTAGTACAAGATTAATGTCTGCAAGCTAGAAATAAAACTGCAATACAGAAAGGTGGGGGACCTATAAAGCTATAGCTCACAGAAGAGAAAAGAAGACAAGAATAATTTACATGAAATTTATTACTTCATCCAGTTTGATCATTTACAAAACAAAATTACTAAAACTATATAGCACAAGAGCTTGTGCTATGGTTGTTAGATTCAACTTATATAATTGTGCTAGTTTACAATTCAAGGCAAGGAACATTAACTCGCTTAAAAACTTGTTCTTGAGACACTCGAACAGACTAGAGTGGATGCTAGATTCATTCATAGTTTCATGCAAACTTAGTCAGTCCAAGTCTAGAACAAACTAATTGATCTTCTCCAAAACTTGCACAAAACAACTCCATTTTAGGTGTTAGGTCCTTCTATCTAATATGCTGTACAACTGATTCAGAATGCCCTCTTTAGCATGCAAGTTTACTAGAGTACTGTGTTCATACTGCCAGTGCAGGTTTTTATTTGAAGACAGTGGATAAGATCTGCAGAGGGTTCTTCTGGTCTAGTTCTCTTGATACAAGAAGGAAATGTTGGGTTGAAATTTGCTGCATTTTAGAATAAGGAGCTCAGACCTCATCAATGGATGTCTGGGTTCTGGCTAGAAAAAGGTCCTTCTATCCTGGTACATTTTTAACATGCAATGCTTCTCAGAAATAGAAGCATTTTTTAGGTGTATTAAACCACCAAGAAATGGTAGCTGGATTTGTAGGAAACTTTCACAGGTTAAGAGTTGGCTACTAGATATATATCATATATGACACTTGGCAATGAAACCAAGTTGAGAGGCATGTATGGCAAGCAGATCATAGAGTGGTCTAGTGTTCCCAAGAATGTATAAGTTGCCGATTTGCTTTTTAATTCCGGATGATCCATACTTGCAGCTGCAAGTCAAAATCTGCAAGAAATTGGGGAGTGTATCAGAGCCATAAGGCCCTTGCACAGTGATCAACAAGACACAGATATATGGATGCTCAATTACTCAGTTTTCCATAAAAAAAAAAAAATGAGCCAGGACAGGATGCCTATGTTGCTAACTTGGGTAGTACTGTGACATTTGCCTCTCAATCCTCCTCTCTTGGTCCATGAATTCTTGATTCTGGTGCATTGAACCATATCTCAAATAACAAAAATCCCCCTTTTCACATTTGTAACCAGCTTGATGAGAGTGATCCATATGCTCCAGCTTAAAGGGAAGTGTTAAATACAGCAATTGTAGATATTATTTTTAGCACTTGTATTATATATAAGATTTTGATTACAAATTAGCGTATAGTAGGGATGTCATTATTGTAAACATGAGCATAAATGTGTGTGGTCAACATTTGTCACACAATTACCAAACCTAGTACATAAAATGAAATTAATCTTTGAAAGTAACAGAACCCAACTATTTCAAGTCCTGCTCGAGTTGCAACTCAGACATTTAAACTTAACATATACAAGGCAACCACTTTTGAACTACCTTACACTCGCAAACTTCAGAAAATTGCTTCAAACTATAATTACACACAATTAAACCAACAAAACAACACACTTAAATTTTAACCGCAAACAACAAAGAAAGAATCCTGCATTTTCTCTCAGAAATTTCACATCCACCAAAATTTACGAGACAAAGTTGAAAATTTGGGGAGGCGAACTATTAATTACTGTCATTACCTCACGAGGTGGTGGTTGTGAGAAGCTGAAGTTAACCTTGGATTGAATCGCAAGCTTGACATCGTCACAATCGATTGTGGATTTTCCCGCGTGCTCTGAATAGACTTGTGCGTCGGTTAAGACATCGACGACGTATCGATACCACAGCTCAAGAAACTTGTGAATGACGCGAGGCTCGTACTCCTCCACACCCATTGACTTCAACAAAGACTTCACAATCTTTGCATCCCTTGGCATTCCCGACTCTTCCTCTTTGTCACCCATGCCTCTCTACTTCTCCGCCGGAAGAAAAATGTAAATGAAACCCTACGGCGGCCGGAGTGGCCGTGGACTGTCTCCGATGGACACTGGTGATTCGAACAGAAAGACTTACGAAGAAAGCAGGGGCACAAAAAGCTCGTCCTTTTCCCATGGGCCTCCTGGCTCAGAATATTAACAGGCCAAAATCAGAACGCTGCGGGCCACGGGCTTTGTTTTCGCCTACACGGTTTTATCTTTTGATCTTCAATTATTTATTTTAAGCAAGTTGCCATTGCCTACTTTTATTTAACGAAAATTTGATTTTGCTATGTATGTAAACCGAAATTTTATCTGGAGTGGCATTCGTTTTTTAATTTAAATAACATTATTTACCTATATAATATATTTTTTTTAAACACACACAATCCTAAACATGATTACATATTATTTCATTTTTCAAACTATTTAGAATTCAGTTTTCGGACAACGAAATTTTGAATTAGTTTTTTTTGTTAAGAAAGAAAAATTAACTATAATATAAATATATATATATAATTATAATGTTTTATTTACAATTTATAGTTTTAAATTATAATTTTAAAAATATTTATATTTCTTAATTTAATAATATATTTAAATTTATTATTAAAAGTAGTAAAATAATATTTTTAAAATATATTATTAAATATTATATTTATATTTTATTTGTATGGTTAATTTTTTTAAATTATTTGATTTATTTTATAATGTAATATTTTTTTTAGAAATTAATAATAAATTAGGAGAATATTAAAAATCTTAAAAATTATATATATATATATATATATATATATATATATATAAGATGAAATAATATTTTTATGTAAAATTATATTTTTGAATGTATTTTTTTTTGTGTTTTGTAATATTTTGGAAGATATATATAAATATATATTATTTTATAAATGAAAATAAGTTATATCTTGTAATATATATATATATATATATATATATATATATATATATATAATTAATTTGAAGTTCTGTAATTTTAATTTATATAATATATATATATATAAATAAAATTTATATAATATATATATTTTATTTAACATTAAAAATAGTTATATTTTTATTAATTTTATAATTATAATTTTTTTAAGGTTATAATTTTAAATATAATTTTTTTTAACTTTATAATTATAATTTATATAATATATATAATTTATAAATAATATTTTTTTAATTTTAATTTGATATATATTTTTATTTGTAATTATTTAACATATATTTAAAAAACTAATTGATTATTTTAAAAATTAATCGATTATAATTGATTATTTATACAAGTAATCAGTTGAGTAATTAAAACTAATCCATTAGTTTTTTAAATATATATTAAATAAAATAATATATATATATATATATAATATTATAATGTTTTATTTAAAATTTATAGTTTTAAAAAGATTTATATATTTATTAGATTAATAATATATTTAGATTTATATATTTATTAGATTAATAATATATTTAGATTTATTGTTAAAAGTAGTAAAATAATATTTTTAAAATATATTATTAAATATTATATTTATATTTTATTTGTATGATTATTTTTATTTTTATTTTTTATTTATTTGATATTGTAATATTTTTTTTAGAAATTAACAATAAATTAGGAGGATAATAAAAAATTTAAAAATTATATGAATATAAAATGAAATAATATTTTAATGTAAAATTATATTTTTGAAATATATTTTATTTTTTGTGTTTTGTAATATTTTGATAATATATATATATATATATATATATATATATATATGTGTGTTTTATATTTTAGAAATAAAAATAAATTATATTTTGGATATATATATATATATATATATATATATATATTATAATTCTAAGTATAATTTATTTTTATGCAAAATATATATATATATATATATATATATATAATTAATTTGAAGTTATGTAATTTTAATTTATGTAATATATATACATATATAATTATAATTTATATAATTTATAATTTTTATTTTTATTTTAATTTTATATATATTTTAATTTGTAATTATTTAATGTATATTTATAAAAGTAATTGATTATAATTAATTATTTGAAAAATAATCGATTATTTAAAAAATTGATCGATTAATAATTGAAAAACTAATTAATTAGTTTTTTAAATAATCAATTAGTTTTTCAAATATACATTAAATATATATATATATATATATATATATATATATATACTATTATAATATTTTATTTAAAATTTATAGTTTTAAATTATAGTTTTAAAAAGATTTATATATTTATTAGATTGATAATATATTTATATTTATTGTTAAATGTAATAAAATAATATTTTTAAAATATATTATTAAATATTATATTTATATTTTATTTTTATGATTATTTTTTTTATTTTTTTATTTAAAAATTAATAATAAATTAGGATATAATAAAAATCTTAAAAATTATGTGTATATAACATGAAATAATATTTTTATTCAAAATTACATTTTTGAGATGTATTTTTTTATGTGTTTTATAATATTTTGGAATATATATATGTTTTATATTTTCAAAATAAAAATAAGTTATATTTTGGAATATATATATATAAAATTTGAAGTTCATAGGTAATTTTATTTTATGTATATATATATATATATATATATATAATTATAATTTATACAATATATATAATTTATTTAACATTAAAAATAGTTTTATTTTTATAAATTTTATAATTATATTTTTTTTAAACTTATAATTTTAAATATAATTTTTTTTAACTACATAATTATAATTTATAAATAATTATTTTTTTTAATTTTAATTTGATATATATTTTTATTTGTAATTATTTAATATATATTTGAAAAACTAATCAATTATAATTAATTATTTAAAAAATTAATCAATTATAAAAGTAATGTGTTATTTGAAAAACTAATCAATCCATGGATTAGTTTTTCGAGTGATTATTTAATTTTTCAAATATATATTAAATAAAATAATATATATATATATATAATATTATAATATATTATTTAAAATTTGTATTTTTAAAAATATTTATATATTTATTAGATTAATAAGATATTTAGATTTATGATTGAAAATAGTAAAATAATATTTTTAAAATATATTATTAAATATTATATTTATATTTTATTAATATGAATAAATTTTTTTAATTCTTTGATTTATTTGATATTGTAATATTTTAAAAAAAATTAATAATAAATTAGGAAGATAGTAAAACTTTTAAAAATTATATGTATATAAGATGAAATAATATTTTTATGTAAATTTATATTTTTAAAATGTATTTTTTTAATGTTTTGGAATATATATATATATATATATATATATATATATTATAATTCTAAATATAATTTATTTTTAAGTTGATAATTATTTTTTTAATTTATGCAATATATATATATATATATAATTATAATTTATATAATATATATAATTTATTTAATTTTCAAAATAGTTATATTTTTATTAATTTTATAATTATAACTTTTTTTAAGGTTATAATTCTAAATAGAATTTTTTTAACTTTATAATTAATTTATATAATATATATAATTTATAAATAATTATTTTTTAAAATTTGAATTTCATATATATTTTTATTTGTAATTATTTGATGTATATTTAAAAAATTAATCAATTATATAAAAAAACTAATCGATTATAATTAATTATTTGAAAAAATAATCGTTTGTTTGAACAACTAATTGATTATAATCGAATAATTGAAAAATTAATTGATTAGTTTTTAAAATATACATTAAATATATATATATATATATATATATATATATAATTATAATGTTTTATTTAAAATTTATAGTTTTAAATTATAATTTTAAAAAGATTTATATATTTTTATAGTTTTATTATTAAAAGTAGTAAAATAATATTTTTAAAATATATTATTAAATATTATTAAATATTATATTTATATTTTATTTATATGTTTAATTTTTTTAATTTTTTTGATTTATTTGATATTGTAATATTTCTTTTAGAATTTAATAATAAATTAGGAGGATAATAAAAATATTAAAAATTATATGTATATAAGATGAAATAATAATTTTATGTAAAATTATATTTTTTAAATGTATATTTTATTGTGTTTTGTAATATTTTTGTATATATTAAAAAATATAATTTATTTTTATTTCTAAAATATAATATATATATATATATATTTATAATTTTAAATATAATTTATTTTTAAGTTGATAATTATTATTCTAAATATAATATTATTATTTAGAATTATAAAATAATATATATATATATATATATATATATTCTTAAATATAACCTATTTTCATTTCTAAAATAATATATATATATATATATATATATATATATATTTCAAAATATTACAAAATATAAAAAATATATTTCAAAAATATAATTTTATAGTATAATTTTATTTCATATACATATAATTTTTAAGATTTTTATTATCCTCTTAATTTATTATTATTTTTAAAAAAAATATTAGAACATCAAATAAATTAAAAAATTAAATAAAATAACCATACAAATAAAATATAAATATAATATTTAATAATATATTTTAAAAGTACTATCTTATTAATAACAAATGTAAATATATTATTAATCTAATAAATATATAAATATTTTTATAATTATAATTCAAAATTATAAATTTTAAATAAAATATTATAATATTATATATATATATTAGTTAATTTATTTTTTTAATAAAATAAATAAATAAAAATATAGAAAAAAACATTTAGAATTCAGGTAAATGGTAAAAAAAACATGCAATGTTTCGTGTATTAAAAATTATAATTTTCAACTTAATAAAAAACTGTCTTATGTAAATAAATAAAACCTATATTATATTATTTGAGTAATTAAAAAATAAATCTATGACTAGAAAAAATTTCTATGTAAAATATATACACAACTGAAATTTATTTTTGTTTCATAAAATAGAATGTGGAAGGTGACACTTTACAATACCCATCAAACTTTTTTTGTGGGTTTAGTTTATTTTATTTTTTATTAAATATTTCAATAAATTTTAATGAGATTAATAACTTGAAAATAAATATTAATTAGTTTATTTGAATATAAGTGTTAAATTAGAAGAAATTATAAAACTATCCAATCTAAGACAGCACGTTACTTTCATTTTATAAAAACAACTAAGAGAGCGTATCATGAAGTAAAAAAAAAAAAAAACTACTAATTCTTTCCTTTTCTTATAAATTTTACTTAAATTTTAATTTTACATAAAAAAAATTAAAATTATACATTTATCCAAATTTTCGCACTAGTAACGATATCCAACAAAGATTCCAAAGAGACACTCCGTTGCCACGTGGATAGAGCTCTAACTCTCACTCTCGTTCAATTCTCAGTGAGAGACCAAGTTCAGAAAACTCCGGTGAAAAAAGCGCGTTGTCGAGTTGGGTGAAGTCACGTGGAGATCACGCGCACTTGTCATGTTCTTCTATTTGTCAGGTGGAGAGTAAGTTAACAACTGAAACACGCGTTCCGATGACGCTGGTCGGACTCTTCCTCACCGCCACCAAGCTCGCCGGAGCTCTCTTGACTCTCACCGTCGCCGCCAACGCCTTCTCCTACTCCCGCTTCCGCAACAAGAACCTTCGCCGGTTCCGCTCCCCCATCGACGAATCCTCCAACACTCTCGCCGATTTCAACGTCGCCGGTAACTTACAATTAATCGCTCTCTCTTCCATCACTAACGTTTTTCCCCATTCACAAACTTTTGTTCTCAACGACTTTGCTAAAGGGACGTTTTCAGGTTCATAAGTTCAATTATACAGAAACTCTATATAATGAAGTTGCAGTAATGAATTTCATTTAATCAATGAAATTCATGTTTAGGGTAATTTCGGCCACATTATCATGGTTGTTGTAGAATGTTGTATAAGCCGTAATTTACAATGAAATTGTAACTGACCGCAATTTAAAAGCACTAGAGGGTGTAAATTTTTAAGGTGTATGAAAAATGAGCTCTTTAGGTGTTTGTTGAAAAACATGTGGATGTGGACGAGGATAAGAGTTTATTTTTCTTGCAGAAGAGGAAAATGGGTTTTTCTTTGGTTTGGCTACAGCACCGGCGCATGTTGAGGACAGGCTAGATGATGCTTGGATCCAGTTTGCTGAGGAAAAGAGTGGTGACTCCCAGGGGAGGCGGACAGTGGATGCTGTGATGGGTTCTGCTTCTAGTGACGGTGGGTCCCAGCGGGCCGCAACATCTCCGCGGGGCAGGAAGCCTCTTAAAGTGGCTATGGAGGCCATGATTAGGGGATTTGAGAAGTACCTGGAAGTGGAAGCAAAAGAAGGGGAAGAAGAACCTCGTCCTAATGTAACTGCTTGGCATAATGTTCCACGCCCGTAAGCCCTGAGATGATTTTATTTTGATGTTAAATGCAGCAAGAGATGGATCTTTCACATTTCTAGGGTTTTGTTTGGTTTGTAGGAAATGGAAGGGAGTGTGAATTCATTCATTTCAGGCACATATTCTTTAACTAATTCTTAGAATGAAAGGAATAAAATCCTTGGGAGTCATGAAAGGAATCGGTCATTTAATTCAAAAAGTCGTAAGTTTGGTGACTTCTACAGTGACTACCTTAAAATCAATGATGATATTGGGAGTGTAAAACCTTGCCCAGATGCCTATGAAACTCCTTTTTGAAAACATTATGTAACTCTTCTAATTCAAAATTGAAACGTTTACCCTCCCCACCTCCACAGAGTAAAAAACGCTGTAATTTTATGGCTAACTAGTGAGAAATGTCTGATTTTCAGGGAGGAGAGGTTAAGATTTTGGTCTGATCCTGAAACAGAAATAAAATTAGCTAAGGATACTGGTGTTACTGTTTTTCGCATGGGAATAGATTGGACAAGAATCATGCCAGTGGAGCCAGTAAACAGCCTTAATGAATCTGTAAGTTAGAAGTTGACCTTTCAAAACGATGCTGAATTACGAGGCCATTCATGGTTAAGCTTATCTCAGTCAACAACTTCTTTAGTGGAGCTTATATATGCGTTTCAGTTTTCATTTTACGTTGAGCCTTATCAACCAATTGAACTATGAGTAACTCAGATGTTGTTCTTTCTTAGGTTAACTATGCTGCGTTGGAACGGTATAAGTGGATTATCAATAGGGTTCGATCATATGGAATGAAGGTGATGCTCACTCTTTTCCATCACTCACTTCCACCATGGGCTGGTGATTATGGAGGTTGGAAGCTGGAAAAGACAGTGGATTATTTCATGGACTTTACCAGGTTAGTTTTTCCTTTAGTGGTTGTTGTCTGTATGCTATTATTACTGTACCTGCTGTAGATGTTTCTCAAGTTTCAAGTGAGATTTTCTGCTACCCTGTGCCATCCTATGGTTGTAAATGAATGAAGTGCACACATTGTATCTGATGAATATTTATTTTCTTCACTGTGTTGGGTGTGCACTGTTTCCTCAAGGACATTAATAACAGTAAAAAAATAAAAAATTATTGAACTTTATACGTGGATCCTTATCCCATCATCATGGAATTATGCTAAGTGGTAGTCCTGTTATGGTGTTTGATTAATTACTGCAAAATTACATTTTTATGTTGTGCTTTAAGTCTTCGTTCACATATAGACTGGTATATGTCATGGCACACCCGTTTCCATTTCGATAAGCTTTTCATTCAATGATTTAAACAGGATAGTCTTGTTTAAAACAGGATTGAATTGAATAGGCTGTGTTAATTGACTTTTGAAGTAATGATAGCAGCTATTTGATAGTAAAGATTAAGCAATGTGAAGTTTCTAATCACTCTAGATGGAGCTATGCCAGGCTTAGTGGAATAAGGGGTGCTGAATCAAACATACCTGGTGGACAATGTAAGCTTTAGGTCAATTCGGGACAAATTAAGGGAACTACATGTTCATGGACTAAAGTGTGAAGTTTCTTATCAAAACAGCAATCAAACTATCCTAATTGCTAAGAAAATCATTCGAAAGTTCAATGAAAGCTGATAGTTTAGTGATGAAATGTCTTCTTCTATGGATTCTCCATCTAGACTACATTATAATATATTAGTTTATGAGTTTTCAATGTATCATTTAATCATCCTTCTGTCTCTTTACTTATGACTACTAATTCCATCCATGACTTTTTTTAATGCATATTTGGGAAAGTTTAGAGATTGAAATTCCTGCTTCTACATACAATTTGCTGTTGTCTTGAATATCAATGTTCCTGTTGTTTAGCTCTCATTATTGTCTAGTCTCATGGAGTTACTCATCTTATGGTATATGCATGAAACTCTTTCTCATATCTTCTTTTTCCATGCAGGCTTGTTGTAAACAGTGTCTCGGATTTGGTAGACTATTGGGTAACATTTAATGAGCCCCATGTCTTCTGCATGCTTACTTACTGTGCTGGAGCTTGGCCTGGAGGTCATCCTGATATGCTTGAGGCCGCAACTTCTGCACTTCCAACTGGTGTTTTCCAGCAAGCCATGCATTGGATGTCTATTGCCCACTCAAAGGCATATGACTACATCCATGAACTAAGGTTTTTCCTTCTCAAAGAAGCTTTAGATTTGTTGCAAGTTTACATTGGGCATATGGATATTATCAGAGACCTGCTAACGGAATTTAAAGTTATTTTTTATGATATTTCTTTTCTTGGGATTATCTGTATTGACTTTTATTTATTAGCTTCTGTCTATGTCCATTCTCTATTTGAGTTCTTGGCTGCTTTATCTTTCTACTGCAACCAATTCTTTTATGCCTTCTCATCCTTCATATTTGTAAGCTAAACATTTGGAGTTGATCACTTAGGGTCTTTTTTAATTTTATGTTTGTAGTTATCTGAACTATAATATCTTTTTGGCAGTAACCCAGTAAATCCAATAGTTGGTGTAGCACATCATGTGTCATTTATGCGACCCTATGGTTTGTATGACATTACTGCTGTTTCACTGGCTAACTCATTGACTCTCTTCCCTTACATTGATGGAATATCTGAAAAGCTGGACTATATAGGCATAAACTACTATGGACAGGTTGCTTTATTAACTTTTGACATTGTACTATGCATGATATCTGGCATACAAGCTGACAATTCTCACATTTATTTCAGGAAGTGGTTTCGGGTGCAGGCCTGAAGCTGGTGGAAAATGATGAGTATAGTGAATCTGGTCGTGGGGTATACCCTGATGGCTTATACCGCATGTTGCTTCAGTTCCATGAAAGATACAGACATCTAAATATTCCCTTCATCATCACTGAAAATGGGGTTTCGGATGAGACAGATTTGATCCGCCGTCCATATCTCTTGGAGCATTTGCTTGCTGTTTATGCTGCCATGATCATGGTTTTGATAATTAAATTTGTATTTCCTTAAATTTAAGTTATTATTTCATAAACACGAATTTCATGTTGGACTTCTTCTAATTGTCCTGCAGGGTGTACGCGTACTTGGTTACTTGTTCTGGACTATTTCTGATAACTGGGAGTGGGCCGATGGATATGGTCCCAAGTTTGGACTTGTTGCGGTTGACAGGGCAAATAATCTTGCACGGATCCCTCGCCCATCTTACCATCTATTTTCTAAAGTTCGAACTCCCTGTCTGCATCTGCTTTTCCATAACATTTGCTCTGTGTATTTTGGATGACACTTCCTATCGCTGTTGATTGCAGATTGTGAATACGGGCAAAATTACACGTGAAGATCGTGAAAGTGCATGGGATGAACTCCAAAAAGCTGCCAAAGAGAAGAAAACAAGACCATTTTATCGGGCTGTGAATAAACACCGTTTAATGTATGCAGGTAATAATTATGTACTCATTGCCAAGTTTGAGATCTTGCTTTAACTGTCTTATAAACATATAAAGTTATGGGTTAAACATGTTTTTTGGTCGTTATATTTTTTGTTAAACTTAGTTTTAGACCTAGTACTATAAAAATTGATTATTAGTCCTCAAACTTTAAATATACATGAATTTAGTCTTTCTATCAATCTTGTGATAGTAAAAAAATTGTTACTTTATATTAAATTTAGGTACGAAAAAGTATTATAATCACGAATTGAGTTAATGGTCTAATTTTGTGAAATTGTGATAGTGAAAAATCACCCCTAAAAGTTAAATTTAGGTATAAAAAGAACTAAAATCACATATTTTTCAAAAGTTAGAAGACTGAATTTATCAATTTCAAAGTATAAGAATAGAAAGCATGTTTGAAAACTAGTACAAATACCAAAAACGAACTTTTTTCTAAACTAATTCTGAGTATGATCTGGCCTTCTTAATATCGTTGGTGCCTTGGCACTTTGTCAACAAATTACATGAAAACCCAGTAGTTAGTGGCTACGACAGCAGTTGTATACTAAGTATTACTTTAGTGAAATAGATTGAGAATCAAACCAACTATGATATGTAATTAAGGCTGCCTTTATTGTTTGAGGATTAGGTTTGCATAAGCCTATAACTAAGAAAACTGAACCCGCTATACTTTACTCACAAAATAATGTTCCTCAAACCATTTGTCCCTTAACCACCACAATCAGAACAGAATACTGCTTCTAGCCCTTGCAAAACTTATGGAAGCTGTTTAAATTCTAATTCCTGAGTATCTCCAGGGTGATCATGTTGATAAAGAACTTATGAAAAAGAAATTGTTGGGCAAAGTTACTCCATCTGAAACATTTAAAAGGTTATGTTCAAAGGTTTGAACATGGAATTTTCTTACGGGGTTATATGGATAAGTGTCTAACTCTTCTTGCTTCTCGTGACAGGTGGACTTGATGAACCTGTACAGCGACCTTATATAGATCGAGATTGGCGGTTTGGCCATTACCAGATGGAAGGACTCCAGGATCACTTGAGCCGCTTCTCAAGATTCATTATTCGACCGTTCTCCCTCAAAAGGAAAACAAAATCTCAAGAAAAGAATGCCAAATTAATTCTTCAGCCTCTTGAAAGTTAGCAATTGACAAGTTACCTATTTCTGTTGTCCCAAATTCTATATTTTGATCGATGAGCGCTTTCAGTTTTAATATTCAACACAAGATGCACCGGTCTTAGTCGCATTAAGTCTGTAACATTAATTTATGATGCATTATTGTTTTAGAGCTTGTTTATCTCATTTTACCAAGAAGTCAAATATTAAGATAATCACTGGACTCAAATATGGGTTATTTGTGGATGCATTTCCCTATTATGGAAATGTAATGTATTGTACCCTGGCCGTGCAAAAAGAAAGTAGCTGACCCTGGGACATGCTTGTCCCTTTTTCTTTTACCAAGGAACAATCATCTTTTCTTAGCTATGGAGGGAGGTTTATCTGTGTACTAAACATAATCCATCTCTTTATGCTCAAAATCACTTTAGACGTTCTAAAATGTGCAGACAAATTGCCAAATGTCTCAATCAGGTTTCTAATTATGCAACCTCACAACAGAAAGATCAAGATCAGGGATTTTCTTATTATTGCACTCAGTCTCAGAGTGTAGTTTGACCTGCTTTAGTTATCATGTTTGTATAACTTGTGTTCCAGTTGTTATATTTACAATGATAAACATACGAATGACTTTCGAGATGTTTTGAGTTGTCTCTTCATCTCTGATGTTTATATTCATGCCTGCAGTGTATAATGGTATTAATCCTGGTATATGTAAGGGGAAGGAAATTCAAGTTAGTTATAAGTTGATCTATATGTTTTATTGGTACAACAATTTGTACTCTGATTAATTCAATAATCCTATATAATCTTGTGTTATTATAGCTATCATGAAAACTATGTTTTCCAAAAGAAATTAAGCTAAAAAATTGTAAGTATTACTTGTTTGGTAAGTAAATATTTCATAAAAATAAAGGAGACCCAAAAGTCAGGCCTGAGGTTAATATTAAAAGGTCAAGTTTTAGGGTGCTGCCATTTTTTTTACATGAATTTGAATTGTTTACATATAAAAGATCTCTACGCAACACCACAATTGAGAAACACTCTAAACTTCTATGGGGTGTAGTACCCTACGATTAGCGTTTTTCTAATTCTGATTCATGACTTATTTTATGTTCATATTTGGTGTTGCTTTTTATTTCATTTTGTGTAATGAAACATTTTATTATGGCTTTCAACTATTCTTTTAGTAATCTATTTTTTTATTAAACAAATTAAAAATAGAAAATAATATTATTTATTATACTATAATTTATTAATTAATTAAAATAAATTTATTAAAATATTTATTAATTAAATAATTAGTAAGACTAATGTTTCTAATAGATTTGAAAATTTATTAAAATTTATTGATGAAATAATTGTAACTTAACTATTAGTATTTATTAGTTATTAATTAGTAAAACTAATATTATTTGTTAATTAAATAATAATTATTTACTAACTAAATATTTACAACTTTAAATACAATAAATACAATAAATTTATTAAATTATTTATTTACTGATAATAAACTAAATAATTAAAATTAATATAAATAATTTTTAAAATAAAATTAATAAAATGATCAGTGTGAATTTGAGTGCTGACGCATATTCACACTCCAACAATAAAAGTGGTTACACGTGTAAATATATAACATGTTATTTTGAGAGTTTTTATTATTGTTAGATAAGAACAAAAAATCCAAGTAGTGGATTCTGAAGATACTGGAACGAGGAAGTTTAGTTAGTGCACACATACGTAAGTAAAATTATTTGTAAGCTTTGGAATGCTTCCACTTCGCTATAATATTTTCTCCATTTTTATATTTGTTTATACCATTATACTCATAAATTATAATAAAACAAACATCTTATTAAACAACTTTTACTTTCCAATCGATTCTTAAACTTTCAGTAATTTTCTCACTATTTTATATTGTCATTTTTTTTTTCTCATCATCTTTTATTGAACCTTCGAGAACGTTCTCTCTTCTTTCTAAAAAAGAAACAAATTACACGTAAAGTGTATAATCATCAACGGTGGTAGATATATTTCACCTTTTGGAAGAGCATTTTTCTGAGGAGTTTAGGAAAAGTAAAGAACAAGTGAGTGAGTCCAAAGATACGGTGAATTTTCGGGTAGAATATGATGTGATAGAGTGTGTTGTTGAACAAGATAAGGGACCACCACAGTGACTGACACAAAGGATTGTGAACAGTGGCAATAAACTTAGCTCAATTGACAACAAAGCAGAATAAAACATGAAAGAAATTTTATACCTAAAAAGACAAGCACAAAAAACAGTGACTGGCATCTTGATGGTGGCATTGAGGTCAAAGAACTTAAGGTGGTGGTGATGGATTCATTTGGGGAAGGCCAGTTCCACGTGTATATTGGCCATTTCCGACAATTCCAAGTGATTTCACAGCCACTGATGTTAGCACTATAAGAATAATCATCTCAATGGTTTGGCCTCAGAGGTCCATTTTAGTCGTAGCAGTTTTCAATATGAACATGAATGTTATTCTCATTCTCCACTTCCTATGTTTCTTTATTTTAAGTACTTTGTTCATTAAAGCATCTGCAATAAATTCAACCTATGAATCTGATAGAATAATCTACCTTCCTGGTCAACCTTCAAGCCCCTCAGTCTCACACTTTTCAGGTTACATCACTGTCAATGAAAACCATGGAAGGGCCCTTTTCTACTGGTTTTTCGAAGCTCAGTCTGAACCCTCCAAGAAGCCTCTTCTTCTTTGGCTCAATGGGGGTTTGTGATTATTAATTTGTTATCATGCTTGTCACTAGTCAACATTATTGCATCGTTTTCCACTTTTAATTCCTCTAAGATTACCGTAGTTAGAGATCTTATTAGATTGACACCATTTCATTTGATTGGTTTGCACTGGAAGGACCTGGATGCTCCTCTATTGGGTATGGTGCCGTTGTTGAGATTGGACCTCTTTTAGTCAACAAAAACGGGGAAGGACTACATTTCAACACATATTCCTGGAACCAAGGTTTGTAGTTATGCATGTTAATTTCTATATCTTTGGACTTTCTGGTGTGTTTGTTTGATTATCTCTTGTTGCTTCCAATTATTACTGTGCTAAAAAGTATTAAGAAGGGGCGAGATTGCTGATTTATTTTGCTTACTTGCTTGAAAATTTGAAACCCTTGCAGAAGCAAATTTGTTATTTGTGGAGTCCCCTGTTGGAGTTGGATTTTCTTATACAAACACCTCTTCTGATCTCACCAAATTAGAGGATAATTTTGTGGGTAAGTTTCCTTGACAGAAGTTAATTCCTCTGATTAAAGTGGTCATATTTGACAAACTACGTGAATCAGCTGAGGATGCCTACAACTTCTTGGTGAATTGGCTACAAAGATTCCCACAGTTCAAATCCAGGGAATTTTTTATATCAGGAGAAAGCTACGGTGGTTAGTGTTCAATTCCACTGTGATATCTCTTTCACATATACCTTACTAGCATAATCACATGTCCATTTTCCGTTTTTTCCAGGTCACTATATCCCTCAGCTTGCAGAGTTAATCTTTGATCGAAACAAAGATAGCAGCAAATACCCCTTTATTAATCTCAAAGGTTTTATTGTAAGTAACTTATACACAATTTTATCTCAATAATCAATATTGAACTTTCAATACAAATCTTTATAATGTAGAATTCTGGACTTGTGATTATAGAACACAACACACAATTTGTCCAAAATTAAAAATTATAGGAGAACAACTGAACATGCACCACCCCAGATGATTGCTTTGCTTTCTAAATAGCTATAGTCACATGTTCAGGTAGGGAACCCAGAGACTGATGATTACTATGACAATAAAGGCCTTCTGGAATATGCATGGAGCCACGCAGTTATATCAGACCAGCAATATGAGAAAGCAAAACAAGTATGTGATTTTAAACAATTTGAATGGTCTAATGAATGCAATAAGGCCATGAACGAAGTCTTCCAAGATTACTCTGAAATTGACATATACAACATTTATGCCCCGGCATGTCCTTTAAACAGCACATCCTCAGCTGATGACAGCAACAGTAATGACCCTGAATCATTTACTAAGGTAGATTAATATCACGGATTTATAGTTATTATCACTAATTTATTTCCATATCAAGTTGTTGAAGTTGAGTGAGGGGAGAGTTTTCTTCTTGCAGGTGAGAAATGATTACAGACCAAGGAGGATGAGAATTTTTGGAGGCTATGACCCTTGTTATTCCAATTATGCAGAAGAATATTTCAATAGAAAAGATGTTCAGTCATCTTTTCATGCAGATACTAAAAGAGGCACTGACGAAGCATGGAATGTTTGCAAGTAAGCACTGAAACTTGTTCCTTAAATGTACTTTCTTAATCTTTAGTAATGAACATCGGATATACTAATTTCCGTATCTCATCATTTCTTAGTAACTCCATATTACGGTCTTACAACTTCTCTGTTTTCTCGGTCCTACCCATCTACACCAAACTCATCAAGGGTGGGCTTAAGATATGGATTTACAGGTATATTGTACTGTCTTCTATCTTTCTCTCTTTCACATGAATCATGCAGAGATTCACATCACCATACACGCCTCATAACCATTACACATGGTTGTTAAGTTTAGATATAAATAAAAAGTTGTGCATTGAATGAGTAGAGGGAATTGTACTTGCTTTGGGCAAAAGGGTAACATACTCATGTGGCATCTATGACTGCGATACCCTTTTTGCAATCATCATTCTTATGTCATGACTCGCATTAATTTTTTTCTGCAACAAACAGTGGAGACGCAGATGGGAGAGTGCCGGTGATAGGGACACGCTGTTGCGTCGAGGCTCTTGGATTACCTCTCAAGTCTGGATGGCGAACCTGGTACCATGATAATCAGGTATTAGTTATGAAACATTATTAAAATTTGTGATTAATTATGATGTTAACGCATGCATTGTTTAGTTGTAACAAGATTATAACTTAACCAGGTTGGAGGAAGAATAGAGGAATATGAAGGATTGACATATGTGACAGTGAGAGGAGCTGGACATTTGGTGCCATTGAACAAGCCTAGTCAAGCTCTCTCCCTAATCCATTCTTTCTTAACTGCCCAACATCTTCCTACTCATGGATAATCATCTTCCTCCACTCATTCTACCATTTTCGGTTCCCACTTTTTCTCACAACCCTATCTATCAATATTAATAAATTTATACCCACTCCTTTATCATAACCATGCAATTTATATATATATCTTGTTCTTACTCTATTATATATCACTTGTTATATTTATATTTTTTTTCTTTGTCGATTAATTTATATGTTGTGTGGGCATTCAACTTTATTCACAGGAATGAAACCCTGTGTTCCAATTTTAATTAATAAATGCAAAACAATACCAAAAATCTATCATGAAATCAAGTAACCAAAATAAGTTTTTTATTATATAAATATCATTATTTTATATATATATATATATATATATATATATATATATATTAAATATCCATAGAAATATAGAAATACGAGAGTGATCAATTATTCATATGCTCATTGAATGTGGGTATAAATATACTTAATCACTTACATATTTTCAGTTTCCATATATTTATAGATTTAATGAATGTCTATGAGATATATGTAAATATTTATTAATATATATATATATATATATATATATATATATATATAAAGAAAAAGAAACTTAAAAAAAATATTTGTTTTGTAAGTTTAAGTACATGATGACACTAAATACACAACATAAATTACGGGTAATTATTTATAAAAGACACTATAGGTAGGACTCGGGTTAACAACGATTTTATCACAGTAATAATGAATAAAATAAAATGCATATATACTACAATGATGTTGGTTTTATTTATAAAGGTCTAAGATTAGTCATGGACACTATATGCCCTTTGTTTTGGTGTAGTAAAGTCCAAGGTACACAAGTGTAATCGTAGGACCCTGCAAATAGGTTTTAGGCGAAGATAGCCTACTATGCAGATTGGGCTCCAAGCCCAATTTAGAACAATATTGCTGCCCCTAGCTCAACATGCTTAAAGGCCCAACATCATATTTTGAAATTAGTTTTTAGGTCCTTTAGTTACAATCATGTCCGTTAATGAGACACATGATATCATTTATGAACACTTTCCCTGTTTTCATTTATTTTCTTTACTATACCACAACATTGATATAATCAACGTCATACATTAAATTCATCCAAAGAAATGAACTTTTGGTAATTCGTGGAGTTGTTCTTAAATTACCTTTTGGTGTTTGGTTCTACACACCTTTTTCACTTATAAAATTATAAGCTATACTATAATAATAACAAGTTATTATTTTTATCTAATCATAACTAGTTATTTAACTTAGAAGAAATGTTTCTTTCAATCAGAAACACGACTCTAAAGTGTATGTTTTTTGCCCTCATCTCATCTCACGTAACGTATGCCATGCAAAGGAAATGCACACGCCTCTTCCAAGACGATTACGTGAACAATTTGGAAAGAGACTACAATAAGCACCTCTTCGCATATTCTAAATGAAACGAATAATATTACACAGCATATTCTTTTTCTTCTACCTCCTCTTACTAAGAGCTTCACTGTTTTATCATAAACTACACCCCATAAATCATTAACAATTATATACAAGCCCATAAATCGCATCAGTAATCAGTATTATTACTGAGATAAAATTTTAAATTTAACTGAAGATGAACACTAACAGAACTTATAATACTATATTTAAGTTGTTATTAAGGATAATTACAGTTTGGTTCATCCCTGGCTTATTTACCAGCTTTGAAGAATGAGAATGGAAAAGACATGGACAAGCCAACCAAAGACTTGAAGGTGATGACAGGTCCTTCTGGTTGGCCTCTAACATAAATCTCACTCAAAGTGAACCAGACCAAGAAGTCCCTGGCCTTCACCCCAGTGAGATTCTTGATCTTGTTTGGCTCCACATAAGCAGTGACCACTGAATCATAGCAGACATGTATGTTATCAAACCTGTGCTCCTTCTTCTTCTCCAGCTTTAGCCAAACAAACCCTATTTCCTTCACATAACCACATTCCTCAATGTTCTGGGTGGTCAATAGCCCATCAGGTAGACCTATTTCTGCCAGCAACAAAGAGAACTTCTCCCTGCAAACTTTGTCCCCATGATAAACCTCAGCTTTGGACTTCAATTCCTCTGTTAATAAAGACCTTGGTGGTGTTTTGTGCATTGTGAAAGTCCTCTGTTAATCCAAGTAGTGGTGGTGGTGGTTTTTAGATGTTTTCATAAAAATTGGTGTATATATATCGTGATGGATATATGGTGCTTATTATGGATGAACTTGGACATTTTGAGGCCGTCACGGCTTTGACCAGATATTGAGGTTTTAAAGTATACCTAAAAAATGCGACCAAAACATGTGAGGATGTTAGGTGTCACCACTATGTTATGATGGGACCAAACAGTTGAAGCTTCTTCCATACTTACCAAACGGTCTCCAGATTATTCTAGGAATAATTTTAAATTCTCCATAATCTGGTTAATTACTCAATTCTTCTTTTGTTTGCATTATTAAGATATTGAATATGTTTCTTTTGTATTAGTAAAAAATGTTAAAGGAGGATGGAATGACATTATTGTCCAAATACAAATTTTACATTTTATAGTGATGTCAACAACTATTTTTTAATTACTTTTAATATGATTAGTGTCAATTTAACATTTATCATAAATGATAATATACAATTGTATGAAGATATAAAAAATTGATTATAATTAATCAATTAATTAAATTCTTTAAAATATTATTTTAAGCTATTATCAACCACTTGTATTTTATACGTTTTTCTTTGAAATGCCAAACTGGGATGTTTATCATTAGTTTTAAAGAAGTATAGGAAGGAAGAAGTTTAAGAATAATACATAAACTAAACCAAATACGAATATTCGAATTTCAAGCAACGATTGGAGCTTTTGTTAAATACAATACTTCCTCTACCCATAAATCATTATTATATATAAAATGTAAATTATTGTTTACAGTAAAATTAAAAAAAATACATATTTTTATTTTTATGAACATTGATTTTGAGAGAAATATATTAAAATATCCTTAATAAATGTCATGTATATTTGTTTCCAAAGTTTTATTAAAAGATTTTTATTGTTATTATTGAATTTTATGTGATCCTCCTAAACATAAAAAGATAAACAACTTTTTACATCCTATATAATATATAAGTGTTTTAGTTTCTGCCCTTTATTTTCTTAAATATTCATTTTGACCTCTATATAGTAAGATTTTTCCTAAATCTAATGAAAAAAAAAGTACAATGGAACTAAAAATATACAAAAATAAAAAATTATACAGACACATATATTAGGAGGAGTTTCACAAACAAAAGAACTCATATTACAAGGACGTAACAATTATTCATGACAAATTTCTAAAAAAAATAATAATAATAATCTTCACACTACAAAAAAAATATGCACTAATGGAGGAAAAAAATAAAACAGCAATTAGAGGTACTTGTATCGAAGTCATGAAATTATATTTCACTTTTGTAAAATTTGACTGGCACTGAATTCACCATGCAGTATAGTTTTTGTTTTATCTTTTTAATTATAATTTATCATTTTATGTTGTTTTCTTCTCTCTCTCTTTTTTCAAATTTTGTTCCAAAAATTGTAACAAAAAGAAGAAAAAAGTGAAAATATTTTAGATTTTTATTGTGCATGTGTTTTTTTGAATGGAAGGAGCAATTAGTCAAGTTGTTTTTTTATTTTCTTCAAATATTTTTGGAACAGAAGATTAAGGGCTCCAAGTAATGGGCTTGGCCCAATTAAAATGTTTTGTCAGCATCATCATCACCGTTTAAAACCAGCCCTATGCAATTGTTCTCTTGAACAGCTTTTTATTCTGAACAATTGCGTGGTCCTTTTTTTTTTTTTCTGTAAAACAAATTCCGGATCTGGATAATAATAAGGTACATTATTTATTCTCTTATCACTTTTTTTTTCGTATTTTCATATTTATTTAAAAAGATAATAATAATTTTATTAATTTTATAGGACTAATGATGCGAAAGAAAACTAAAGACTGAAAGCAAAACTTTAATAGTAATCACTTTATATATGCAATTTTTTTGGTTATTATGGAAATCGAAAAAATAATTTTGGATGTATTTTATAATTAAATAAAATTAAAATTTGTCGACACGCAATTCTTTTTCAATAAATAAATTATTTAATTTTGTTTTTTCATTATATTTGGGAAACGAGAAAAACATAACTTTGCCGTTTTTTTTTTTAAAAAAGAAGAAGAAGAAGCAAACTCTCCATTATTTCAAAATAAGTAAATTTGTCTTACATGATAAAAAAATTACGTAATATTTCTTGTTGCCTTTTGAAGTGTAAAGTTAAATAATTTTAAAGATGTTTGACTTCTAGGACAGATATTTTAGCACGCTAATACTTTTTATATTTCAGATTTATAAAAAAAAAATTATATGATACAATTTTTTCTATAAAAACTATATTTTAAAGCTGTTTGACTTTTAGGATAAATATTTTAGCATGCTAAATTCTTTTTTCTAATTTTTTTTATTGTATTAAAACCTTGAATATTAAATAAAGTGGGATGGAACAAAGGAAGCAATGCTTTCTTTAACATACATTTTGGATTAAAAATAACTTATTTTGACGGAAATTTTATATAAAGGTAATTATTTTAATAAAACATTTCTTGACAAAAATATTGTTTGAATAAAAAATTTTAAAAATAATTGAAATTTTAGAAACTAATAAAAATAGTTTGATTATTTAAAATATAAAAAATTTATTTTTATTTTTATTTTTTTATTTTTATGTCTTTTATTTTGTTTTATTTTTTTATTTAATTTTGATTAAGATATTTTCGATTCAATCTTAATATGGGTAGTATAACTCAACTTAAAAAACATTAACTAATTCAATTAATACCTACTTATTTTGACTTATCATCTTGATCCTCAGGTTTTTAATTTGGTATCATTTTTTTTATCCACCATATCTTGACCATATGTCTTATTTTGATCCGATCTTTCCGGCTTAAATTCAATCTAACTATCCAAAGTAGATTTTACTCACTCTAGTTTAACTTGACTTATTTTGATCTTATTTAATTCATCTTAATTTGATATTTGATATACACATCTTGTCTTAATTTAACTCAATCTTTTTTATTTTGTCTTGTTGTATTGTGTTATGATCCAACCTACACTACTACAAAATATACTTTCTACGTCGTCATTTAACGTCGCTTATAAACGAGACGACGTAGAAAGTACTTTCACGCTCGATTCCGGATGAACCGACGTTGAAAGTTGAATATTAAACACATTCTACGCTCGGTTCTTAGTCAACCGAGCGTGAAAGTATTTTTACGCTCGGTTCCCATATGAACCGAAGCGTGGAAAGTCGTTTTTTTTTTTGTTTTTTTCACCCAAAAATTCAATTAAATTTGAAAATTGTCACCGCTGGGATTCGAACTCGGGATTTTAGAATTGGAAACTAATACTCTAACCACTAAACTATTATAATTTCCGATAATAACTTACAAATAAATTATATTTATATACAAATAAATATATATCCATGTAAATATATATTTATTTGTATATATTTTCTGGAAAGTATTTTTATTTTTTTTCGACCAAAAATTCACTTAAGTTAATGAATTGTCATCGACAACATTTGAACCCGAGTATTTTAGGGTTGTAAGTTAATATCCCAACCACTAAACTACTACAATTTTTTGATAATAACTTACAAATAAATTATATTGGTATTTTTTGACCGAGGGTGAAAGTGTGATTGACTCTCGCTTGAGTGAAAATATGTTAAAGCTCACGGAAATTCACTCACTCAAGTCTCGCTTGAGCGAAAATTGGTATTTTTCGCTTGAGAGGGAATAACGCGTTTCCCAATTTTATTTTATATTATTATATAAATAAAATTATAAAGATTATATTATGTCATTAAATTACAAACTCATATAAAGATACCTGCTCACAAATTTAGCACAAATTTTGAAAATCTACTCGACACACACTTTCACTTTCGAGTGTACTCTCACATTCAACATATAAATATATAACTATATAAATATATCAAAATATATAAATATATTTGTATTTATATATTTATACATTTACACGGATATATATTTATTTGTATATAAATATAATTTATTTGTAAGTTATTATCAAAAAATTCCAGTAGTTTAGTGGTTGGAGTATCGGTCTCCAATTCTAAAGTACTTGGGTTCAATCCTGCCAATGACAATTCTCTTAAAAAATTAATAAACTTTTAAAAAATATAATATAAAGAGAGGGAGACTTCTAAATAAATAAAGGGGTTGTAAATAAATAAAAATTATTAATTTAAAAAATTATACTTTCAACGTCGGTTCAACAACCGACGTTGAAAGCCTTCCAGAACCGACGTTGAAGGCTTTATTTGTAGTAGGGCTAATTTATCTTAATACAATTAAATACCACCTAATTCATCTTAATTTAACAACTTAACTTAGAATCAACCCTATATCCTATATCTAACATGATTTGACGTGTCATATTTATTTTGATCAACTTGACTCATGTAAATAAAGTCAAACATTATGAGTTTGAACTAAATCTCAAATCTAATACGAATAAGTTTAAAATTTAATAGTAATTAAAATATTTTATTTAAATAAAAAAAATAATAAAATGCAATAAAATCAAACAAATTTTTTAAACAATTAAATTATTTTAAATAAAATTAATTCAAATTTAATATTTTTGAATTTCCAACAAATTATAAAATATAATTTATCAAAACCTTTTGATATCTCATTTTAGTTTAATTTTTCTTTTATTTTCTAGGTTTAAAAAAGTATTATTTAGTCGGTAAAATCACCTATCGGTACAATTTACTTTTAAAATCACGCATATATTATAATAATTTATTATCATTATTATTATTATATTTTAAAATAGTAAAACTATTACTAAATAATATTTAAATCATTAAAAGAATTTAAAAAGCAATCTAAAAGACAAAAAAAAGAAACAAACGAAAAAAATAAATCAAGATAGTTTTGCATGTATGACTTGAATATTAAACTTCAAAAAAATAAGATCGTATTTAAAAAAAATGTGAAGTTATATTTTCAAGTTGGATTAATTTTTTTTATAATTTATCCATATATGTGCAATTTTGAAAGCAAATTCCACCATTTTTGTGTTTTTACCTGTTTAGTCTTTTAAAACAAAAAGTTGAAGTGAAGTGAAGGAGAAAAAAAAATTATCTTAAAAGCTATTAAAAACCAAACCTACCTATGTAGTTAACTTGCCAAACCCCTGGTACCATACATTTATCATGTTTAATTGTACTTTGATTAACATAACATAAGTAACTTCTTCGTAATTTTAAAAATCCTTTTCTTACATTAAAAAAGTCTTCTCATATCTAATTGTTAACAATTAGTTTCTACATTCAATTTTCATCCACAAAATTGTGTAATAAAAGTTTGACATGTCATTAATTTTATATTTATTTAAACAATTTACATTTTTTTCCTTTGACAATTTATAAAATTCCAAAACCTTCAATATTTTAAAGAAACCAAACCAATTTGAATTTCTTTATTTTTCCAATTTTTCTACTGCTTGTATCTTACTTTATTTTTTATATAAAATTTTCAAAATTATATAATTAATATGTACATAATATAAAAAATATCCTATTTTTCAAAGGCATTTAAACGTTTCATAAGTATTTTTATAAAAAGTTATTACATGTATACATTAATCTAATACTTTGATTAAATCAGTTTTGAAATATAAGATTAGTTAAAAGATCTTTACAAATCTAATTCATTTATTAAACTAAGAAATGTGATGAATATAGTTAGGTATTATATTTTATTAAAATCATGATTATAAAGTGAATTTTATAATAAATTTTAAATTAAAATATAAATAAACATGAGATATTGTAATTAAATTCTAAAACTTCTGATATAGTAAGATAGTTGACTATTTTACTAGCTGATCTCAACGTTCTAAACTACAAGTTCGGGTTATGAAAAATTAAATTTTGTCAAATTAATATTTTCGAAATTGCATAATTTTATATTTGGAATATAAGCAAAAGAGTTTGGAGCATATAACCATTTAGTGTACTTTTTATTAGATATCCATTTTTTTAGAAATTTCCTTTTTATCTTTAGAAAATAAAAACTCAAACTATCTTTTTATAGAGATTATTTTTATGATCTGTATACGTAAATATTTTTATATTGTGCATCAATAAAAAAAATAGTGAGGTATGCCTTTTGATGTAATTGTGGTAAAAATAAGTTAATTTTTTATACATATTTCATTTGTAATTGAATTAATGACTATGTAATATGTATATTACTATTTATTATTATCATTTACACTTTCAATACATATATTATTTATTTTTATTATCACAATTATATTTTTAGCTTTTTTTTAAATCAATGATTTTATTATTACAACTAGAAATTTTGCTAGAAATGTTTTCAAACATTTTTAATCACATGAATTTTTTAAACTTACATGGATTTTTTTTTTAAATTTAAACATTTTTACCTTTTTTATCTCATAATAAATTTAATGTATATATATATATATATATATATATATATATATATATATATATATTTGTTATATGTTCAAAGTAAAACAAAATGAGACTTGTTGAAATGAGATAATATATTTACTTTAAAAATTGATTTTATAATCATGAATTTTTTGGATGAAAATTGAAATAAGTTCAAATTCTATATTAAATAAAAATAAAAAAGTTGAATAAATTTATGAAATATTTATAATGTTTTAAAATTTTTGGTGGAAGATGATATCATAATTTTTTATATTATCTTTTTTCGAAAATACTTAATAGGAGTAATTTAGCTAAAAAGAGATTATCATCTCAATCAAATACAATTCGAATAGGTAAAATATATTTGATTATGAATGTTTATGTTAAAAATCTTCCTCCAATATTAACCTCTCTCCAATACCCAAACACTATCATATATAAACTATGATCCCACGATCCATCCTATATATATATATATATGTGGTATCGTGAGTGAGTGAAGATTTAGAAGAAGAAGAAAAAAAAAATGGGACTTCACATTCTCTCCAGTGGTGGGTTCCTAACCTCCCTAGTTCTCTCCCTTTTCATGCTAATAAATGTAAGCCATGCACAAAAACAAATAACTGACTCTGACCAAGACGCTTTGTATTTTGCACTAAATTTGGAACTTTTGAGCGCTGAGCACTACTCGTATGGTGCTACGGGTAGTGGAGTAGATGCCACTGCTCCAGAATTAGCCAGAGGTCCTACTCCCGTTGGAGGCCAAAAAGCCAACCTAGATCCCTTCTTTCAGGACATCTTCTCACAATTTGCTTTAATACAAAGAGGACATTTGAGGTTTTCCAAATTTCTGCAACTCTAGTTTATTTATTAACTTTTCTAAAAGCTGAAGGTTGCGTGCATGCATCTTTTACAGGGCCATAAATCGTGTAATTCAGGGTGTCGAGAGGCCATTACTAAACCTAAGCAAGGAGTTAGCTGCTCAAGTTGTGAACAACGCCTTTCGAAAAACTTTAAACCCACCTTTCGACCCTTATGCCAACTCCCTCAATTACTTAATCTGGTCTTATGTCATTTCTTATTTTCCCCCTCCTACCTATGTTCAAATCACTCCACAGTTGAAGAATCCCATCTACAAGAGTGTAAGGGTTCAAATTCTCCTCATTTTTTCTTTAACTTGTTAGGATTTTTTTCGATTCCAATTTCACTTGTTGGATCATGAATGACCAAATTTGATATGCATGCACAGCTTGTTGCTGGGCTTCTGGGAGTAGCTTCTGATCAGGAAACAGTTATACGAGGATACTTGTACGAACGTCGAGACTCTCTGGTACAGCCATATAACGTGAATACGTCAACGTTCATAGATCGCATTTCAGAGCTTGGAAATAGGTTAGGAAAGGAAGGAACCAAAATCGAGGGTCTTGTAGTTTCTCCAGCGCAAGGTGCTGAGGGAAAAATAGCAGGTAATGTCATTTCTGCTGACAAAGATTCACTGGCATATGCATCAACTCTACCGGCAATACTGCGGATAGTATATGGAACGGGTGATGAACATGTCCCAGGTGCCTTCTTCCCTGATGGAGCAAATGGTCGCATAGCAAGATCTTTCTTACCATAGATACATACATACAATAATCATACATCATTTCCTCTTTAACCTACTACCACCCACCTATTCTGCCTAACCAGTCATACTTATTGGTGGCATCTAATAATAAGCACTATGTTGCATTCAAATAAACTCATTACAAATTTGCCTTACAAATTAAATTATTCATTTATAAAATGATAAACAGAGCTTTAAATAGGATAAGTCACATAAGTACCTTTTTAGGCGAGTTTAAGATGAAGTCAACTTCAAAATTAAAACTATAAAACAAGTTTTAACTCCCGCTAAGAGTCATGAAAATGTAAAAGTAAATAAATTAAGGATTTCTTCATTTGAAAGGAAAAAAATATTTTTTTTATTTGTTTTAAAAAATAATTGTAAATGTATTATTTACTGGGTAGCGTATATTTTAGTTTTCACGATAAAAAAAGAAATGAATTAAAGATTCTAAAATAATTATTTTCAATGAAAAGTATTAGTTTATGTTAACCTCCGCAGACCTTTCATGTAATTGTTCAACTTTAACTAATCATTCCGTTATAAAAAATAACACTAAAAGAAAAAAAAAACTTATTGTTATCAAACCAAACCAAACCAAACAAAGCAAAAGTGTTGTAAAGCCATTTCACAATGCTTGAGTCATTGGCATCAAACAATGTGTTATGTATTCTTGATCGATTATAAATATAATATATAAGTAAATTATAAATCTTATTTTTGAAACTAGCGTGAGGTTAATGGAGGAGGAATAAGATGAATTCCCTCTCTTACACGCACTAAGATTTGCATGTCATTTAGGTACGCGTGTTGAATAAGTAATACAAGAAATTTTAATATTACCGAGGATCAAAATTCGTCGGTAATAACAAAAATTCATCGGTAATATCCATTTATTGACGGATTTTCGACGGTAAAAAATCCGTCGGTAATATCTATTTACCGATGGATTTTCGACGGTCAAAAATCCGTCGTTAAATGTTTTACTGAAATTACCAACGGACAAGAATCCATCGGTAATATTTTTATTAAATATTTTACTTATATAACCCCATATTTTTTGAGTTAAATATTTTACGAAGTTAGAGGTCGATACTCTAACCACTAAGCTACTAGAATTTTTTGAAAATAATTTACAAATAAATTATATTTATATACAAATATATTTATATATTTATATATTTAAATATTTCTATATTTAAATATTAAAATATTTATATACTTATATATTTATATTTTATATATTTATATATTTATATATAATTAAATATTTATTTTTAAAATTATTTAATTTAAGAAATTATTATAAATTAATCTAATTATGATTAAATTAAATTATTAAATAAAAAATATTTAATTTTTTAATTAGGTGAATATTTACTAATTGTTAATTTATCGACTGATTTATCGACAGATATATCCATCGGTAAATTCATCCATGAATTACCGATGGATTTATTGACGGATATATCCATCGGTAACTAATTATTACTTTACCGACGGATATATCCGTCAGTAAGATCGAATTCCACAAATATTTTATATCCGTCGAGTAAATTCCGTCGGTAATAATTATTTTCCAACTGTTACAAATCCGTCAAGTAATACGCGATTTTTTTGTAATAAACTTTATATTTTTATATTTTTATATTTATATATATTTATATTTTATATATTTATATATTTATATTTTATATATTTATATATTTATATATTTATATATTTATATATTTATATATTTATATATTTATATATTTATATATTTATATATTTATATATAATTAAATTTATTTTTTAAAATTATTTAATTTAAGAAATTATTATAAATTAATCTAATTATGATTAAATTAAATTATTAAATAAAAAATATTTAATTTTTTAATTAGGTGAATATTTACTAATTGTTAATTTACCGACGGACGGTAATTTACATATGAATTTACCGACGGATATATCCGTCGCTAATTAATTGTTAATTTATTGACGGATTTACCGACGGATATATCCGTTGGTAAATTCATCTGTAAATTATTGACGGATTTATCGACGAATATATCCGTCGGTAACTAATTATTATTTTACCGACGGATATATCCGTCGGTAAGATCAAATTTCACAAATATTTTATATCCGTCGGTAATAATTATTTTCCGATGGTTACAAATCCGTCGGTAAATATTCGTCAGTAATACGCAATTTTTTTTGTAATGAAACTTTGTTAATATGCTCTCACTACTTTAATGGCTTTTTTGGATTGGAGAGAGATTACATGAGTGACAAATAAAATAAATAAAATACAAGAAGAGATACACAGTGAAATTTGAGAGGACTGAGAGAAAGAGAGGAGAGGAGAAAAACACCAAATTACCAAAGTAGCTGTAGAGTTTCGTGGAAGATAAAGGAGACACAGTTTTTTAAGTTGTTAATTTTTTATATTTATAATTTTGTTCTATTAAATTTTATATCTTTTTATTTTTTATATTTATTTATTATTTATTAATAATATATTATTTAGGTTTTTTAATATAATTTCCTATTTTACTAAAATAACCTTATATTATAAGAGTATTTTTAATGGTGGGTTTTATAAGAATCCAACTTGGGTTTAAATGATACTCACATTCTTACAAATTCACTCAAATATTGGATTCTTATAAGTAATTCACCATTCAACTACTACTTTTGATTTTAATGAGACCCGCTATACTACCTTCAGGTGAACATTATTCCTCTCTAATTTATTGCATTCTGTAATTTGTTGAATTCTGTTAGTGAGAATGCAGGAATAACTCGAAAAAAATTAGAAAAAAATAATTATTAAAAACGTTACTTCTAAAAGATATAATGCTTAACTTTTCAAAATTGTTGTTGCTAGGTCAAATTATTCTAATGACACTTTCTTATAAACACTATTGTTTATAAGCAACTAAGATCATAAGCAACTCTCTATGAAGTTGTTTTAATCTAATAAAAAAATAGGAATTAAAATTAAGGTATAATTAAATATAAAATAATTATTTTATAAAATTGAAAACAAAATAAAAATATATTTTATAATCAAATGATGTACAATTTTTTGTTGACGTATATAAACAACTTAAAATATAATAAACTTGTAACTTTTTTAATACTAAATATTAACATACCTTAAAATATATGAGATAAATGTTTTCAGACATGTTATAATATTACATTGTTTCCATGTTGGGAAAAAATTTTGTGTTTAGTCAAAATGATTTAAATAATTTGAGGTCTGTATTTATCTAATTTGATATTTTTAGTTATATTATTCATAGATAAAATAAAGAGATGAGAATAAATATTATGTAAAATAATATAAAAAATTACATTTTTAATTTCATTAATATCAGTAAGATTTAAATTGATTTTACAGTGGTGATATAAATTTAAATTAATAATAATATAAGTACATAAACAAAGATAAATCAATAAATATAAAAAAAATTAAAATTAAATTAAATAAATAAATATAAAAGAAGAATAATAAATAAATAATAGATATAATGTATAATAAAAATAAATTAAATATTAAATATAAAAAAATAAATACATAATTAAAAATAGATTAAATAAATAAGTATAAAGAGAATAATATCTAATTAAAAATAAATTAAAAAAAATAAATATAAATATAATGATAGATGTTTTTTTTACCTTGGTAATTTAATATAGCAAAATATCAAAAGGTGTTTATATAATTTTTTTTTCTCTCCTCCTCTTTCTCTTTCTCTCTTCCCTTTTCCTTAATTTTTTAACACTATTATCTCTCCTATTTATACCCATATATTTTTCTTTTTCATTTTCTATTTTTACTTCATTTCATGTTTGTTTGTGATAATTACAAACTTTTTTTTTAATAATTATTTAATATTTTTTTAATAATTAATTACTTTTTCTAATATTTTGTTGAAAAATTATTATTTTTCTTATATAATAAAATATTTAAATTATCTAAAAATATTATAATTTAATATATTATAAAATATATGTTATAATAAATTTTGAGATATTACAAAAATATTCTAAATATAGTTTTTGTAAAATTAAATATTCTATGGAAAAATAACGAAGAGTGGTAGATAATATAAAAGTAATTTTATATTTCGAAATTAATGATTATTATTTAGTCTTTATACATTAATAATAATTTAAAAATAAAAATAAAATTTAAATCAATTAAATATAAGAAAAAGTATAATTAAGAAATTAAATGTCAGTGCTTGATAAAAATATAATGTCAATTTTATAACTAGTTTGAAAAAACAATTAATTACTTTTTAATGTTAAAGAAAAATATTTTATTCCGTTTTTGTCTTATACTATATATCTCTTTGGATGTTTTAATTATTAAAATATTATTCATTCTATACAAATTTTCAAAACATTAATTATTTTAATAATACTCTACTCTAAATATTTAAATGAATTTATAATTACATTAAAATTAATTCAATAAGGATAATCAATTGATTTTTTTAAATAATATTATTTTATTATTATATTTTATACAATTAATATTTGTCTTAAAAAATATTATTTTAAATATAAATAATCTTAAAATAGTGTAATCAGTATATTACTCAAAAATATAAGAGGAGATATATATTATGAGGTTACGTACAGCATTAAAAAAATAGAATTTTTGGGATTCAGCAAGCAAAATTATTTCGTGTATTCTTCGTCTTTTCTTAGAAAATGAGGATAGAAATATTTCTTAAAATTAAGCTATACTTACGCATATTTTAAAATAAATAGAAATTTTTTATATAAATTTTGTTAAATATATATAATAAACTATGTATATATTTAATGATTAAGTTGTTATTGAGATATTAAATGATATTAAAATAAATAATGATTTATTATCTATATTTTGATAAGGCACTTTAGTTTCTATATTTTATTATTATTTAAATATATTTTTATTAGTGTTATTTTCATTTTCTTATACTGAGTTAAGGATCTTGTATATACTTAAGGGTTAAGAAACT